TAATGATAATAGGTAGAATTTTGTGCTGGAGTTAGCTATTTAAAACAATTAGTAGTGGTTTCATGATCGGGCAATTCATCTGGTTGGTCATTTTAGAGATGTTAGATTTATTTTTGTTGTCACCGTCTGCATTTCTGATTCTAGTTTTAGATTTGCTTTCAAAGTGTTTATTTTAGAGTTTTGGATTTCCTTTTCTTGTCACTGTGTGCATTGTTGGTGCCGAGAAAGCTGTCTTAATTCACCGGTTTTATTTGTTTAGCTGGTTTTAATGTTTTGCTCCTTTTGTATGGTGGTGTTTTTTGTTTTAGATGTTACCTTTGTAGGTGGTGGTGCCCTCTCGAGTTCTTGTTTTGTCTTGGTTGTTTTGTTCTCTTATGTAGCACTATTTTCTTCTATTTAAGTCTGAGAGAGTTTTAATGAGTTTTATAAGTAGAACTTAATGTTTTAATTAAACAAATTGACCATTACCAAGTAAAAAAAACATATACAAGAAATAAAGATAAAGAAATAGACTAAAGAAAAATTTGACCACAGGAGTCTCATTAGCCAATTGTTAAATTATGACGTACTTCGTTTTCGAACCATGCTCTTCCAAGAATAAGCATGGTGTAAACGTTGCATTGGGTTAAATGTGGTAGTTTAGTTCCTCCTATTAGTCCTATACCGCCTTATTAATTGTAACCAATTGTATCGTGTTCAAGGCAAAAATGTATAGTAATGATTTTTATTCATAAAACTAGATATTGCATAAAAGAATTAAAAAAATACATAAAAGATATAGATTCATCTATTTCATTATAAATGTAATTTTTGTGCATTTAATACATAAAAGAATGAAACATAGCAAAAGAAGTAAGAGATAGAAAAGTTCAATTTTTAAAAAAAACAAGCACTCAATTTTCACATGTCTAACCCTTATCTTAATTGTCATTAATATCCAAATAATAAAAAAGTGTATTGGGAGTGGTAGAAGGTCTCTATATAGTAACCTAATTATATTAATTTCGAAAATGAATATCTAACCACTAATTAATCAAATGGATTTAGTTCCTATAGGATTTAATAGAAAATTGAATTAAAGTATAATTAAAAGCAACAGGTTTTACACTTCCTTACAAAGAACAAAAGCAAATACAACAACTGCAATACTTATTGGCAACAAAAGCCACAAGCACAGTACAATTAAAAATCAACAATCAGCGTCTCCTAATCGGAACTACGGCCGCCCCAAGGCTCTGAGCAAACCCCACCGTTGCAGTTGGAATCACAACACTCCGAACTAGAAACGCAAGAGGAACCGGCCGGACTGCATCCGCAGAACCCGCCCTTGCATTGGCGGCTGCAACAATCGCCGCTAATCGAGCAGGCGGAATAGACCGGTTTGCATCGGCAAACCCCGGAAATGCAACCGCCAAGGCAACAGTCATTATCGGTATCGCATTTGGCATCGGCGACACTACAGCAAACCCCACGATGAGAACAAGCGCCACTGCAACATTTAAAAGCAGTACCAAAGCATTCGGAGCCGAGCGGATCACAAGCTACTGCAACCGAAGCCAGCGTCGCTAAAAGTAGCACCACCGCAATTGCAAACACTATAAAACGAGATTTCTTACTCTCCATAATCTTATTTCCCCAAGAAATTATAATTGGTTTATGTGTTGTTGAAAGTCCCTTAGTTTATATACAGAGGGTGATCATCCGGAGCTCATTAAAATAGATACATATATTTATCTTTCCTATATTATATATACACATGCATCATGTGGGTGATATACATATGAATATTATTATTTTTTTTAATCTTAACGTGGTGCCGTAAAATTCAAACTTCAAAGAGTTGAACAGCATAAATGATATATTATGTAAAATTCAAACTTCAAACGCCTTCTCTGAGTAAATCCGGTGGCCCTGGCTTAGAAGATTTATTGAAGAGGTCGTGTTCAGGCATGATGCATGGCATGCTTTACTAAGATATAATATAGGGTAAAGTACACAATCATCCCCGACTATAGGATATTACTTTATTAAGTCCCTCAACTATTAAAAGTTACAAAATAGTCACCCGATTATTCATTATGTTCCAAACTCGTACTTTTTCGTTAAAAAGTTGGCGTTTGTCTAAGTTGGACGTTAATATGATTATCAGGATGTAATAGTCGTTTGACTATTTTGTAACTTTTGATAGTTGAGAGACTTAATAAAATAATACCCTATAACAAGGACCATTTTGTGTACTTTGCCCTATAATAAAATGAATTAATATTTAAAATATATTCCAACACGACTTACAAAACGTGATTAAATTAATTTAAATTTTTAAAACTTAAATTTAATTATTAAACTAATACTTTAATAATATGTTCATATGATTTTATTCGATTGAGTGCAAAATTCTGATAGAATAGATCATTTATTTATGTTCGTTTACATTAACTAATTATATCACATGTTATTAAACTATGACTATTATTTTTAATTGATTTTTACGATTTTAAATATTTTAATTTTTCTCCAAATCATGACTCTTAAGTTAGATTAATCAACTTTAGAACATTTAAATTTCATATCCAAACAATGAAATTGATTATAAATTGATCATCAAACCTTTGAATATTTCAATTACATTCCCAAATTCATCCTCATATGAAATTAGTTTTAACCATGGTTTAAACTAATTTTTTTTAAACATAATAATAGAGTTTCTCCTAACGATTTTATTGACAGTGGATTTGATTAGCATATACCGATGGTTTGAGATTAAATTGAAATGTTTAAAAGTTTGAGGATCAATTTAGAATAAAATTCATAGTTTTAAGATAAAATTGGAATGTTAAGGACTAATTGAGAATGATAGCTAAATTTTAAAGATAAAATTAAAACATTAAAAAGTTTATGAACAATTTATAATAAAAATATAATTTGAAGACGTGATGCAAAAAAAAATTATAAACGTAACGTGTGGTACAATTAAAACTTTATTTCATGCGTTGAAATAGATATTTCTATGATAATTTATCCTTATTGACTATTATACTTCTACTAAAAAGTCACATAGCCGTCATCAGTTTTTAATAAAACGGGCGAGTGCTAATGTTGGTGATATAATTCGATTTAGATACATTCAATTATAAGTAGACCGCCATAGTTATCTTCTTCTCGAGGCAGTTTCTCTCCGAGCATTGAAGTACACCGCTGCCACTGGAAGTCCCAAACCGTTCTCGGCGGAGAACCTCCTGGTGTTGAAGTAATCCCTTGAAGATGGTGGACTCACCGTTCTTCTTCCTCTCTCTGTTTGAACAGTATGAATGCATATCTGTGGATGCACACTAGCGGATTCGGAGATTCGTAGCTAACAACTTCCCTTCCTGCAATCGGCGTTTAAAAATCCATTTTCAGTCCCGAAAATTCTATAGGTTTTATAGGCCAAAATGAATATCTGGAAACTCACCGAAAGAAGCATTGGTAGTACCAGGAATGTCGGTGACCATCCAGCAACTCAAAGACGACTGACGTTTTAGAAACTGATCATCCCAACTCAACCCCAAACACACAAGAACTGATCATCCCACAAGAACAAGAAGAGAACCGTCTTTCAAATTTTCTACTACCCACAAGAACTTATCATCCCAACTCAACCCCAAACACACAAAATTCCCTTCAAAATTTCCCTTGAGAAGAGACCCTCAGTGAACAAATGGCATCTAGATTCCACAACATCACAGAGACCGCACATACCATCAGTGATCATCCCAACTCGAGCTAATCTGTCTTTTGTAGGCAGCCTACTAAGATGGTCATCCAAACTATAATAGAATATTTCAGTACATGGAAAGGAAACCAAAGAAGTCTATGTCACTTTACCTTGTCCCTTAAAACTCTAATATTATCCCAAATCCATTTACAAATAACCTTAGTCCAATTCAAACCAGAAGCAAACAAGGCCCTTACTTCACCTCTCAACTTTAGCAATCTCTTAAGAATCCAATTGAAGTGAGTCTTGCAGCCCACCTGTCAAAAATCAACACCTTCAACACGTACTTTTTCAACAGAAGTGAGTTTCGATGCAACACTTTTTGATGAAATCTTATTTGGTGAGGAAAAGAAGACAAAAGTTGCAAAGTGTAAGGGTATAAAAAGTCTAGAAAGTGGGTCTCTATGATGAACCGCCATGTGTTTGATACAATATTTACCCAAAATGCTTTTGAAAATGAGTCCAAAACCCCACTGCATACTAGCACCAAATACTGACAGTCTACACTCCTTTTTTAATGTGCTCATCTTCCACGCCCTTTACGCTCCCATTATCTACAGCTTCTTTTCATTTTGTTTGAGCCACCCCACCACTTCTTGTTCAACTTAATCGCTATGGGATAATACTAAATACTCGCTCAAAATTGAATCGTTCAATTTACTATTTAATCTTATAACCTCTAATATACAAAAATTAAATATGTAATTATAGTTCCATTTAGATTAACACTTAGTTTCTTTTTTCAGTTGTCCTCCTAATCGCATATTTGACTCCTAATCGCATATTTGATTTGATAGTAAATCATCGAATAAAGATTTTTTACATATATAAATACTTAAATTTAAATATTAATATTATTTAAATAATATCAAAATATTTATCAGTTAAACTGAATAAATTTTGATTTTCAACAAAAACACGTTCTCGATTATTTCCATGCTCTTGTGGATCAAACAATAGATACCATATTAGAAAATGGTTATATTTTAATTTGATAAGATATAGATTTTGAACTATTAATAAAAGATATACAGGGAAAGATGTCCCGAGAAAGTTCATGAAGAAGGGATGGGTCCCGCTTTCAAAGGTTGCCACGGGTACATTCCGTTCGGATCCATGACTAGATACCCGACCTAAAAAAACTACCCAAAAAAACACCCGAACCAGAGTTCAATTACAGACCCTCTGATTCGCTCGGTGTAACTGCCCAAGCCACGGCGCGTCTTGTATCCCATGATCATCGTTAAGTCCTGGGTTGTCGCAATCCAACGGCTAATTTGATCGTCTCACTCCCACCTGGCTGCTGCAGCTGTAAATGCGTCTCGTCCACCACCTCCACGGGCGGCGGCTGTGCGATTTCCCCTTCTTCCCTGGGGCGTTTTGCCAATCCCCTGATTGGAACGCCGAACAACCTCGGACTAGTTTCTTCGTCCGCTGAGTCTTCCCCTTCGCACGATAATCGCTTTGACGGCAACAAGTTCAACGGTTTCGTCGTCGGCGAGCTGCTATCCGACCGAGAACTAGCGTAATTCGACATCAAACTGAAGATATTATTGCACAAGCTCTTCACCTCTGCTAATTCTTTGTTAAGCTGCACGTTCTCTTTCCTCAATTTTTCGTTTTCTTTCATGAGCTCGGCCATAACTGCCCCTGCTTGGTTAAGCCTGGAAGGCGATGAGCCCGATGAAATAACTGGAGACTGCTCTCTGGAATTGGTCGGAGATATAATAGGCTTTGCCATTGGAATCGTCGCAATCGTCACCGGCGCCACCGTAACAGCCGTGGCAGTTGGCGACGAGATCTTCCGACGCTGGATTTCGCACAAAAGTCGCTTTTCGCCTCGTCGGAAATAATCGTTGGAGAATTCCCATCGATCCGGTACCACTTTCCTAAATCCCTAAAACAATCAATAAAAACACCAAATAATCAACATACGAAATAAGAACTGCAATCTTAGAAAATAAATTTGAGAGATTCTCTTGTTTGCCTCACATAAGTATTGAGCTGACGAACGAAACTAGAGAAATTGTTATGCTTGAAATATTTAGGCAGGAGATCGCGAGCGAAAACCGTGGGGTTCCAAACGATGAAAGTAGATCCGTCGTCGTTCCAAGAAATAACGTCGTCGATCGTGTGATCATCGACCAATTGATAAGTTTTAGTCAAGAAAGGCGTGGGGATAGACCTTTGCGACTCAGTAGCGGCGTCTCCGTTCTGCTCCACCGGCGGCGGAGCCATCAATGGAACAGCAACAACAACAGTAACAATAATAAATTCTCGAAGAAGACTTCTTGGGTAGACTGTATTTTTCTCGGAGGGGAGAAATCTGATTGTTAATTTCTAGAATATTGAGATTTTATGAGGGATCTGATCAGATAAATTGAATAAAAAATAAATAAATGGTGAAGGTAGAAAAGTTGGACGGAACAGAAGAAGAGAGGAAAGAACTAGAAGCTACGTTACGTCTCCACGAGAAACTTCCTAGGCGATTTTATTATTTACACGTGGCATCGCATGACTGGATACCACTCTTTTCTTTATTTTTATCTTGAACATATCGTTTTTAAGTAAACTAAATTTTAAAATATTTTATCATTGTTATCTTCAAGGTATCTTTATACGTTCCGTCCTATTATTAAATTATTTTTAATTAATTTAGAGGGATTATAAAATAATATTTATTAATTTTTTATCATTAATAATAAATATACATATTTTACAGCTAAATTTATTCAAATCCGACGAAAACTGTACAGAGAGTGACCATATTTTTACTACTAAGATATGTGTTTTATATTATTAAATTTGAAATGATGTGATGATGTTTAATAATTCATGTTGATACGACCATCGTCCGAGACAAACTCATTGTCATATAGCCCTTAATCGGAAATCAACCCATCCCTAGTTTCCCACCAAGCCTGAAACTCGAACCAAAATCCTTTACTAAATCGATTATGTCGACACCAGAGTCCGAAAGAGTGCGAACTGGAAGACCGAATCCAAGGTCCACTGCAATAGAGTTCGAAGATCCGAACTCTTAAGTGACGGTCATGACATGGAGGATCTGCCATACATTTAGAATGTCCCGTAGGTCATTGTCTATTTTGTTGATCTTTGATGGATCGATGTTGACGTCGAGAATAGCAGTGCTTGAGTGGAAACCTGCGCAACGAGAGGTGAACTCCAGTATAGGATTGGCGAAAAAAGTAAAACCATCGGTTTCTCAACTGCTACTTGGCATACCACAGGCGTTGGTGGCTACTTTAATGGAGGAGGGCATGGACCTTTACATCGGAAATACAGTCTCGCTTCCATATCATCATCGATGCTGCCAGTCAAATTCTTCAAGCATTAACAATGCATCCCTTTAATTTGAGGTACAAGTGGAATGTTCAATGGCATTATTTTCTTCACTACAATAAAGAATTTAAGTTTTCTTGAATTAATGCTCTGTTTAGTCAAAATAAGTTGGTTGGTAAACGCCAACTTGAAACATTGAATACAGCTTCATGGATGAAAATTCAAAGAAAGTGATATAAGAAATATATATATATATATATATATATATATATCAAATATCATAGGATAATACAATCAACCTATTATAAATTATGCGCATATAATGTGTGGGCATAAAGAAAAATTAAACACGAATCAATAAAAATAGTATGTTTTAATTTCATATATATATATATATATGAAATTAAAACATACTATTTTTATTGATTCGACTATATATATAGCATATGCCATATAATTTGAGTTGGGGTGTGACACATCTTCTCCCATATACTTATAGATCCGTTCCTTATTATATTAACAAGAACATACGTTCAATTTGATTTAATTATAAGAACTTTAATGTATTAGATTAAGAAATTAAAAAGTCGACTCTAATTGCTTAAAAAATAATTATACTTTCGTTGACTTAAACTTTTGAACAGTTTATATAAGTTTAATCGATTATTTTAAAAAAAATAAATTGAAGTAGTATATTGGACCGGCTCAAAATTAAAGAAAAATTTAAAGTCAACCAAATTATAATTGGCATAGTTTCAGTGATGAAAGAAATTATAGATAATAAACAATTTATAATTAATTTCAAAAGTATAACATATAATACTTAATAATATTATTAAATAATATGTATTATGATATAATCAATTGTTAAACTATCATATTGGTATAATATCCAGATATATTTCTTCTTTTATAATCAATCTTCCAAATGCACATATGTTTAAAAGTAATAGGTCTCGTTAATAATCCTCTCTGGCACCTTTTTTTGGGCAAAAGAATTTATTAATATTAAAAGCTTAGATCGAGTGTCTTGTTTGCCTCATTAAAAATCTCCTTAAACCTATTTGGAAGAAAATAGTGTACCTCAACTAGGATATAGCAACAAAGAAAACGTACATGCAATTACAAAACGTCACACGAGACCTAAATGACAAGAAAATCGCAAGATAAAACTACCACCAAGCTTTAAACAACACTAATCTTACCACGCCAGCCTTTGCAAGATGATTCGCCAAACTGTTTTGAGACCTCGAAACATAAAAAACTGAAGACTTGAAACTTCTCGAGATAGGGAATTTGTATCACAAAAATATTCCACCATTTTCATAGACTCGAGAGTGGATTAGCAATCCAGTGCAGAATGACTTGAGAATCAGATTCTACACTCAAGGGGGTTAACCCTAACCACCCTGCTTCCTTGAACACTTGCATGATTGTACGAATAGCTAATAGTTCAGCGAAATCGGATCTTGAATCCAAGATCGGGCCAGAAAAGATAGCCCTAATATCCCTTGCTAAATTTCGAAGAATACGGCCTCCACAGCATTCCCCTAACATCTATCAAGGAGAAAAGAGTACCCAAACTTTATTAGTCATAATAGTTTTTCTTGAATGAATTGATACAAGTACTCGATATGAACAAGTGAAAGGGCAACCACAAAACAACCCAGACCCCTGTCAAAGACCAAACGTTTTACCTTGTATAAGGGGTTCAAAGCAGATAATATATATACCAGACTTTTCGTGCATGCAACGAACAAATGATAAGAGCATAAGTTATCTAAATTATACCCATTCGAGAAGCCTCTCGTATCACTTGACACTCAGTTTTGATACTCTCGTAGTATTTTTGGGAGAGAAAATAGTCTCTCCCTGTACAATGCTTGTAGTTCTTAACTTATAAGACCTTACTAAAAAACAAATATTGCATGCTATCTAAAGGCATGAAGTTATATACATAGAAATGAACGTTTATAAAAATAAACACTTTTTGCAATTTCACGAAATTGAAAATTTGTTAGTGTTAAAATTTCGGACAATAAATTATAAGATAATCACTTAAAAATTTATGTTAAGTCATTAAGGATAAAAAGAAATGAACAATTATAAAATTAAGATGGAAAGAAAAACATTCATATATTAAACAAAATTGAGCTCCCTCTCTTCATTCAACCGAACAATCCTGTCATAACCATTTTTTTCAAAAAACAATTATGATTTTAAATGTGAAAAATTGGTATTTTGAATTAATTTGAATGAAATTGGATAGGAGTTGTCATCAACCTTTAGGTTAGGCAGGTCGAATACCTAAAAACGTCTTTTAAAACAATTTTAAAGAAAAATCATTTTTTAAGACAAAAATGATATGTGTTTACCAGAAATTCGATTTGATGAGTCCGAGAGTCGGTTACGCGTGGGGAATCGAATATAAAGTTAAAATATGATATATTTATTGAGTTTAATTAATTTGCTACGAATTAAATATTAGGAAAAATCTTTAACTTGAAAAGAAATCTCGAGATTAGCAATCCTCCGTCAAGAAAGCTATTTCGACTATTTCTTATCCGTAAAGAATATTCTCTCTTCGATAAAACATGAATCGAATATAAATTGAAAATCGACAATTAAATTAAAACAATAACATTCTTACTGTGATAAACATATATTTATACCTCCTCCTCCTTCAATATTATACTAAAATTCCAACTTGGTTTCTAAAAAATCTTGAAATACGCTCTCTTTGACTTTAGTCAATCATCGATCTCAATTCCAGGCCAGATAGGCTCTTTTAAAGTCAACCGCCTCTAATAATTGCGCTGCCATACGGAAACGTGACATCTCCTATCTAATTATTTTATTCTCATTTCCGGTTTGACGGGTTTACGTATAAGAATTTAGAGACACTGTTCCATTTCGCCGTCGTGCATAAACATTAGATATTGTTTCTACTCTTTTTTTAATTTTTATTTTATTTAAATGCATCACGGTCCTCAAAGTATGAATTCCATTTCATAGTCCCTAAACTTCTAAACGCTCCGATTCTATGCCTCAACTATGACTATTATTCGAAATTAGTCTTCAAACTTTGAATATTTCAATTTCATCCCCAAATTATAACCTTGATTTTTAAACTGGTCCCCAAACATTTTAATATTCCAATTTCATCCCCAAATTATATGTGTATACTAATCACATTCATTGTTAATAAAATCGTTAGCCGAGTTATATTATTATATGTGTGAAAAAAATAAAATTTAAGTTAAACTATGGCTGAAACTCAACCATCACCATTGCTGCCAGCCAGAATAGAACCATAGACCTGTTGTTAAAGCGTAATGAGGACAACCACAAAGGACCGTGGTTGAAACTAATTACGTATTTGGATGAAATTAAGGATGAAATTGGAAAATTCAAAAGTTTGGGGACCAATATAATGAGAGTCATAGTTTATGGATGAAATTGAAATTTTCAAAAGTTTAAGGAATAATTTAGAATGAAAGTCATAATTTGGGGATGAAATTGGAATATTTAAAAGTTTAAGGATCAATTTAAAATGAGAGTATATTTTAGGGACATATGATGCAATTAACTCTTTTATTCTTTTAATTTTAGTTTTTATTTGAACAATAGCCATTGATATGTTAAATCAACTTTTTAGCATAAAATATTGATATTAAAAAATTTCAATAAGTGTTGGTGCAAGTGGTTAAGATTCAGGAATTTGAGTTTGTAAGACCAAACTTAAATCCTACTATCGTCACTTTGATGGACAATCTATAAATTCCAATTGCGTCTTAGAATGCCCTCCTTGAACTAGAGATTCTCCTAATCTAAACTTTTTGTGTAAAAAAAATCTAATAACGTTTAATAACGAGATGAAACCCCGAAAAGAAAATTTTGTAATTGTTGGACCAATATCATTATTTTGTACATTTCAACATCCAAATCAATAAGTTCCGAGCAAGAAAAAAACAAGAGTAAAATCTGCCCTGAATAAATCTGCAAATTTCATAGTCAAAGGATGAGCTGAATGAATGATCCAAAATCATATACAAAACACTTATCGTGCACAGGTTTTCAACTATATTATGATAAAAATTTATCATCACTGTCCTCTGCTAAAGGATATATTATAAATAGCTTCGTTGTTTGATTTGTAAACCAAGAAATAAAAAAAATAAGCTGAAGATATGAAGTCCTGTTTGTGTTCAATGTTAACCCCTCTTGTTTTGGCTGCTCTCTTCTCGTTTTCATTCGCAGCTTTGCCTCATCAGGATTTTCTCCGCTGCCTTTCTCTTCGTTCTGATGATTATTCTTCCATTTCCAAAGTTGTTTTCACCCCCACGAATCCTTCCTATGAATCTGTTTTGGACGCTTCGATATGGAATCTCAGGTTCAACTCAACGGATACACCGAAGCCTTTGGTTATTGTAACACCAACGAAGATATCCCATGTTCAGGCGACGATTTATTGCTCCAGAAAACATGGGCTGCAGACAAGAACCAGAAGCGGCGGCCATGATTACGAAGGTCTTTCTTTCGTTGCCAAAGTCCCCTTCGTCATCGTCGACTTGGTTAATTTCCGAGCAGTGGAGGTTGATGTTGAAAACAGAGTTGCATGGGTTCAATCCGGTGCAATTCTTGGCGAACTTTACTACAGAATCGCTGAAAAAAGTAGAGCTCTCGCCTTCCCAGGTGGCATTTTCCATACCATCGGTGTTGGCGGCCATATCAGCGGTGGGGGTTTTGGGTTATTATTCAGAAAATACGGTACTGCCGCTGATAATGTGATAGACGCTCAATTCATTGATGTAGAAGGAAGGATTCTTGACAGAAAATCTATGGGGGAAGATTTGTTCTGGGCGATTCGAGGCGGTGGCGGTGGCAGCTTCGGGATTGTCCTTGCATGGAAATTATGTCTCGTTCCCGTTCCGGCTACCTTGACGGAGTTTACCGTCAGCCGGACCCTTGAACAAAACGCGACCGAACTTGTCCATCGTTGGCAATCCATCGCTCATGATCTTCCCGATGGAATGTACCCCAATGTTGCATTAAGAAGCATCAAGTCAACTCAAGACGGGACCAAAACAGTTGTAGCTATATTTAGTTCGTTGTTTCTGGGCACCATTGACGAGCTTCTTCCGATAATGCACAATCAATTTCCGGAGTTAGAATTATCGAGACAAAATTGCAGAGAAATGAGTTGGATTGAGTCGATTCTTTACGAAACTGGAATCCAAAACCAGCCCTTGGAAATTCTGCTTAACAGGACTTTCAGGACCCCCCTTGATAACCCTTTTTACAAAATCAAATCCGATTATGTAAAGGAACCCATCTCTGAAGCAGGATTGAAAGGGTTGTTTTCTCGTCTCACCGAAGAAGCCGCAGCTTCGACCTCCATCGTCTTCTTCGCCTATGGTGGGATCATGGATCGAATACCGGAGGACGCAACCCCTTTTCCTCATCGAACCGGAAATTTGTACAAAATCTTTTACAACGTCGGCTGGCAAGAAGAAAACAAGGTGAATTCACAAATATACCTCGATTGGGCTCGAAGGACTTACGATTATATGACTCCTTTTGTTTCGAAATCACCAAGAGAAGCTTATATTAACTATAGGGATCTGGACATTGGTTCCAACAACATAGGTTATACAAGCTATGCACAGGCCAGTATTTGGGGTCATAAATATTTCAAGGATAATTTCGACAGATTAGTGCATGTGAAGACGACGATTGATCCAGACAATTTCTTCAAACATGAACAGAGCATCCCTACTTTGTACTAAAATGAGGTGAAGAAGAAGATTGCTCCTAATTTGTATGAACAGATTAGTGCATGTGAAAGTGATTAATCGATAGTGTATTATATATTGTGGATCACATTTATTGTTATAGTAGTGTGTGAAAGTGACATTATTGGTTTTAAAGCTTTATTTATTTATTTATTTTATTTTGTGTGGATAATTGAATTATTGACTAGACTTTCTCTATAACTATTAACCAATCTTGAACGTGTACGATTATTTCACAAATATAAGTAACTTTTGAGTATGTTTGACCAAAATAATGACGTAGTTTACGTTATTTGAGTGGAGAGAAAATCCAAACTTTGAACCTTTAATATAAAAACTCAACGTCTAATCAATGAGTTAAATTAAAAATTTTAATAAATTTAACCTACGCAATCGATGGCTTCACAATTAGTGTTTTGGACCAACGGTTACTTCGTATGGTAAACAGTTTGAAATCGTTTAAGTAATGTCTCAGGTTCGAGTTTTTATGTATATAGAAAATCTTCACTGAGAGACTCACCTACCAAACCCAGATGTATGACTCGGTCGATCTAGATTAATCAAAGTAAATTCTTAAACTAGATGGCAGCAAAAAAAAAAATAGTAGTGTTCGGGGGCATAGTTAGCCTGATCAACAATTGCAGCCCAAGATAGTTCTTTAGCACCTGCATCAACCACAATCCCAGCTGAGTTCTCACCATCCACCTCTATTTGGGTTTCAAGAGACTGCTCACGTATCTGAAAACCCATAAGGCCTACATTCTCTATTTGCCTCATGAAATTTTTCTCCACTGCCCTTCCCTTTGTTCAAATGATTCTTCTTCCATTTCCAAAGTAATTTTCACACGAACAAATTCTTCATATAAATCTGTTTTGGATTCTACGATATAGAATCTCAGGTTCAACACATATCGTCCATCGATAAGTGTGACATGTGATATATTATAAGCCCCAAAATTTTAGAGCCCATATTTTACTTACAAAGGTTTACTTACAAATAAGATTGCTAAATAAGGTGGCAGTGGTGGCCAGTGTTTTCTTATCTATTTGTATTTGTATTTATCTAATACTAAATCTAATTTTTAATATTTATTTTTTTATTAATTTGATTCCTGTTATTTTTAATTAAATATTTTTTTTGGTCAAATAATTTGGAATTTTCATGACATTGACTATCAAAACTAATTAATGATAAATAATTCATAGACAATTTAAAAAAAATTATTAATAGAATTACAAGCTTTGTGATTTCATCTACATTTTTGCTTCTAGAATACATACACACTCTCACAAGAACAAAAAGTTTTATATTTTCTTCTTTATATATATATATATATATTAATTTTTGTGTTATTTTGTTTTATAAATCTTTTGTCTTCCAATGAAATATAGATATTTTTTCAGTGATGGAACTTCATCGGTTCTAAACGGAGCCTGGATGCTTCAATTTATCAGTCTAACCAAGCCAATCATAAATCATTCTATTGATAATATTAATCTGGATACCCCAAAAAATGAAATGGATCTTTAATTGCACTTCAAGCTACAATTTTTTGATAATTCAATTAATCTTTTTTTGGCTAAACAGAAGATATCTCGATCGGGTGAGAGAACGGAGGAATCTCATATTGACCCAATATATTTGACAAGTCGCACTATACGACGGGTCAAGGGGAGCTTGGTCCCCGCCAATTATTTTTTAAGTGTTAATCAATATTAAATATATATATATATATATTTAAAAAATAAAGAAAAAATTACTAGCTCCCCTCAATTAAAAAAAATATTTTAACCTCCACTATAATAAATTTCTCGTTCTCTAGTTAAACTTAACAATGTATCTCTAATGATGTTTATTTGATCATCTTATTAATCTATCTTTTAAGTTAAACTATCAAAATGACTCTCTTTGTTAGTAAGTACTCATAATCGTTTCAATTTATTATTAAAATTTTTAGGGCTGCTAAACTACTATGACTTTCATGTTAGTAAGTACTCATAATCATTTCAGTTTAATATTAAAACTTTTAGGGCTGCTAAGCGATGATGATATATCTATGATTGATGTATTTTGATAGCAAGTTCGATGGTTTCTTGTTCAAGTGATGAGAACGTGCATATTTGTGTGAATTTTCTATGTACAAGTAAACTTATATGACGTGACATATTTTGTTATGATAATGCGAGTGCCATAAGTCACTAGAGGTATGTTATGATGATATAAAACTTGTTCGGGATTAGTATGGTGCACATGAGTAATTTTCATTAGAAATCGGAAGCAAATTGATGTCTTAAGCCAAAGTACGGATATCCATGTTCAAATTTTCTTACAAATGTCATTTGCTTTTCATTAAATGTTTTGATTGTTTAAATGTAAAAATGTTTTGAAGTGTTTGTAATAGATCGAGTATAATATTATTTTGTATTCTTGTTAACTCCCAATGTAGCATTTTTACTTGATTTAAATAAGTGTATTATAGTTGAAAATTATTATAAAGAAAATAACATTTTAAAAATTATATATATATATATATATGGACAACAGATATAGTAAGATAAATCATATGAAAAGAATAGGGGAATACGAAATAACCACAACGGATGCATTGGATGGACATTTGTGAGTTAATAGCGTCAATCGCTTATTAATTCAATACTTTAAAAATCTGGAAAAACCCGAATTAGATTCTATCGTCTCAATGGAGAATCTAATACGATTTCAGTTTCCCTTAGCGAACTGTCACTAAGTGTGTTCACATGAAGTTGAATGTGCCACAGCCCGATCCTTAGTCCAAACTGTTAATCGAAACCGAAATTCAATTCCAACGTGCACTTTTGAAATGAAATCGCCTTGATTATAAAATGATGGCCGATTACCGATCCTTGATTTATGAAAATTGAAAATGTAACCCTTGAGGGTATGAAGCGCTTTTCGATTCTCATGACTAAGAATCGAGTCATTGCTTTAGCCATTGGCTATAGAAAACTTTTAGCATTTTGAAAGAAAAATAAAGTAACTTGAAATTAAAATAAAAGGAAAGAAAAACTTTTATAAATTTAAAGAAATAAAGAAACAAGAGAATTTGAAAATGATTGAAGGCTCAAGTGATGAGTTGAGTATGCTTTGAGGCTTACCCAATAAGGTATTTATGTCCTCAAAAATCCTAGAAAATAATATTCAAAACAAAAGATAATTCCTAAAAATAAAATAAGATAAATCTTAATTTAAAATAAAAAATTCAGCTAAGTCTCCTTCTTCACGTCACTACTGATTGGATCTTCTAGAAGCTGCTGACTAGGCCTTCTAGAAGTTGTTGATTGGACGCCACATTAGTTGCCATGTCATAGCCACCTTAGTTGCCACATTATCGGCACGTTAGCTACTGACTAGATGACAAGTCGGGTGTGTCATGTCCCAAGTCGTGCCCACTAATCTGGACAAGTATTCAGAAAAATAAAAAAATTACATGATTTCGTTGTTCTTAGCATAATTTCTGGAATTTAATGTCTTGCATCGAAAATGAACAAAAAGGTCCAAGTTGGCAACTAAAATTATCTAATCAAGGAGTAATTAATCATAAAATAATGTCTAACTTAAATACTAATCAAATTCCCCATCACTTATTCAATGTTTGTCCTCAAGCATTTCTCAATTATCATACTAAAAGTCGCAAGTTGCCAACTTCAATTTTATAGAATTTCTAAGATTTCTAAGCAAATTCAATCAAGTAAATGTTGAAATTCAATATCAATCAAGCAAGGCATAATCAATTAAGTGTAAATCAATCATGGCATTTCAAAGAATACAATACTTAGTTCCTCACATGGGTTCACTCATTTCGCTCAAATGTTTCGGGTGAAAGAATCGCTCAAGCTTAAACTAATCGACACATTACCATATGCTTGCAACTAAATCTAATCTCCACTACTTAATATGAAAATGATGCAACAATCAAGAGGACTTCAAAACGGGTTGTAATGGGCTAAGGTTCGGGTAGGATAAAGGCCGAAAACGGGATTTCAAAAATTCAAGACAAAGTAAAGATTATTCCGAAAATTTATTCAAAGTAAGGTAAAAATGAATATTGTGTTACTTTATTCAAATTAATTTAATGTGCAACAAAACAAGGTTAAGCATTTGACATCTCAGTTAGCAAGTTAATGTACAAAGTTAATGTGCAACAAAACCGGTTCCTAAAAATTGAGATCTGAAACCGGAACCTGTAGGTACTGGTATCGGTTCCGAGTACCCTGTTATTTTGACAGCTTTCTCATTCAACCTGTTAGTTGTTACACATTAAGTGGGATGGTATGTCGCCTCCACGTTAAAATTGGCCTTTTTATAACCTGTTAATTTATTAAACTAAAATGCTACTACTTATCACAAGTAGAACTCTTTTCTACACAAAATTTATCCACCATTTCATACTTAAATAGTAATAAAAACACTAACCCAAAGTACATATGATGTTATGCGGTTCCGGTTCCGGTTACGATTTATGGGCTCAGTTTATTTGGGCTCCAATATTTTGGACAATATAATGTTATGTGGTTCTGGTTTCAGGGTACCCAGTATTAGAACCGCTTTTAGCCGGGTACCCAACCGGTTCCGGTTCCAAAATTTTGGTACCCGGAACTGGGACCGGTTCCGGAACCGATGGTTCTTAATCGGTTCTGAAACAGGGTTCCCCGTTCTTTTGCTCACCCCTAATATCAATGATCATATAACATCCAGTTTAGACAATCATCGATTTTTTAACGATAAAGGACAATCTTGGAACATAATGAATAATCGGGTACCATTTTTAATTTTTGATAGTTGAGGAACTCAACAAAACAACACTCTATAGTTAGAGGATCATTTTGAAACTTTTAATAGTTCAAAGACTTAATGAAGCATTACCCAATAGTCGGGGGATCATTTGTGTACTTTACCCTTATTTTTTATTCTATATTTGAATATTGTACTTAAAATACTCGATTCAAATGACGAATGGTGGGTCAACTTACCGATGTATCTAACCTTATGAAGAAACAAAAGTTAAAAAATGATTTTATTTATTTTTTAAATGAATATTTAAATTATTCAAATTGTGCAATTGCGTGTTGATTAAAATCTACACCCAATCGTTTTAAAAAATGTTTTAAACTTTCTTATTTTTAAAGTAATATTGATTAATGAATAAGTCTACTGATGCACTCACAATGAATAAGAAATCAAAAAATTCAAGTAAAACAGTGGAAAATTCAAGTAAATAAAATATGAAATTGCAAGAAAATCAACATATTTGAATAGATTGAGACATCATTGTCAAGACCAATTAATCTAGTTAATGTGTAGGAGAGAAATTCCTTCATGTTTGCTTTGGTTTTGGTTTTGAATTTTGAAAGATATGTTATCCTTTAATTTATTTTTTAATTAATTATCGGTATTCGATTTCCTGACCGATTAATTTAGATCAAATTTTGCATAGATCTATCATGAGAGTGATCCTCCCAATTTAATTTTTGTTTCATTCGTAATCGTCAGAGTTTAAACTCTAAACCTTATTTAATGAATTCAATGTTTAATCCCACTAAATAACTGGTTGTAAAACATAATTTTATGTAAAATTTATAAAAATTATTTTTGATCTTGTATTTGTTTTACGTAAATTATTTTTAAGCACGAACCAAGTGACCTCAGTTGTTATAGGGATGGTTGTTGTATCTAGAGGTTCTGAGTTCAAACATCATCTACAGTTAAAAATCTTTAAAACAAATAAAAGTCAATTAGAATAACTAACAACGAGTTGGTCTAGAGGGGTTTGAATCTTGACGATTACGAATTAAGCAAATTTGGTTAGAAGGGTCGACTTTGCCTCTACAGTACTTAATCTGGATTAATCAATTAATAGATCGGATATTGATACAAATTAGTATTTTTAATTAAATAAGTAATGATATAAAGAATGAAATTTTATATGAACGCAATTCTAGCAGTAAAGTTCTGGGCAATGACTTGATATATTTAAAACTTGGATGTTTTACAAAGTCATGACAGATAACTTCGAATATTGCAGTCGTTTTATACCATATTCCTAGCCGACACAATTAAATAAATATACGATTAAAGAACTGTATATATAATTATATATTAATGGAAGCATTTAACCAAACAGTTTGAACCGGAAAGTTTCACGTACAAGGATGAACTTGACCGCCATGTATGAAAGATTTAAAAGTCATATATGAAAGCTTCAACTTCATCTATAGGGTTCTCAATTTAAAATATTTGATAAACATCAATAATTCACACATCGCTGCTCTCTGCAAATCCATACTACAAATATGGAGCTTTCTAGTTTGATTTGAATACCCAGAAAACACAAATAAGCTTAAGAAATGAAGCCCCCACAGTTTTCGATGTTAATCCCTCTTGTTTTGGCAGCTCTCTTCTCGTTTTCATTGGCAGCTTTGCCTCATGAGAATTTTCTCCACTGCCTTTCCCTTCGTTCAAACGACTCTTCTATTTCCAGAGTGATCTTCACTCGAACAAATTCTTCATATGAATCTGTTTTGGAAGGTAGGTTATGGAATCTCAGGTTCAACACAACGGATACCCCAAAACCTTTGGTCATTGTAACACCAACACAAATATCCCACATCCAAGCCACCATTTATTGTTCCAGAAAACATGGGTTGCAAACAAGAACCAGAAGCGGCGGCCATGATTACGAAGGTCTTTCGTTTGTCTCCAGAGTCACCTTCGTCGTCATCGACTTGGTTAACTTCCGATCAGTGGATGTCGATGTAGAAAATAAAGTTGCATGGGTTCAATCCGGTGCCACGCTCGGTGAACTTTACTATAGGATTGCAGAGAAGAGTAGAACTCTATCCTTCCCAGCTGCCTTTGTCCATACAATCGGCGTCGGCGGCCATATCAGCGGTGGAGGTGTAGGGTTACTAATCAGAAAATACGGCACTGCCGGTGACAATGTGGTGGATGCTCAATTCATCGACGTTAAGGGAAGGATTCTTGACAGAAAAACTATGGGGGAAGATTTGTTCTGGGCTATTCGAGGCGGTGGTGGCGGAAGCTTTGGGATCGTCCTGGCGTGGAAACTAAGTCTTGTTCCCGTTCCTGCAAACGTGACAGTATTTTCCGTCACCCGGACCCTCGAGCAAAACGCAACCCAACTCCTTCATCGATGGCAGTACATTGCTCCTAATCTTCCCGACGATGTGTACCCAGCCGTTATAGTAAGAAGCATCAATTCAACTCAAGATGGGAGGAAAACGGTTCTAGCCGCCTTTAATTCATTGTTTCTCGGCACCATTGACGAGCTTCTTCCACTAATGAAGCAAAGATTTCCCGAGCTTGGACTGACAAGACAAAATTGCACTGAAATGAGTTTCGTCGAAGCCCTTATCTTAAACAACGGAATCCAGAACCAACCCTTGGAGATTCTGCTTAATACGACTGCTAGGGTCCCCATTGCCAGCCCAGCCTACAAAGTCAAAGCCGATTTCGTAAAGGATCCCATCCCTGAAACCGGATTGAATGGCTTGTTTTCTCGACTCACCGACGATGCTGCCGCAATGACCATCCTAGTCTTTGTTCCATACGGCGGAATCATGGATCGGATTCCTGAGAATGCGACACCATTTCCGCATAGAGCAGGAAATTTATACCACATCTTTTACGACGTGGGTTGGCAAGAAGAAGACAACATACACTCCCAAAGATACCTCGACTGGGCTCGAAGAACTTATGATTATATGACTCCTTTCGTTTCGAAATCTCCACGAGCAGCTTATATTAACTTTCGAGATCTCGACATTGGCTCTAATAATATAGGTCATACCAGCTATGCACAAGCAAGTATTTGGGGTCGAAAATATTTCAAGAACAACTTTAAGAAATTAGCGCGTGTGAAGACTATGATCGATCCAGAAAATTTCTTCAAGCATGAACAAAGCATACCTCCCCTGTACTAGACTCATCTTGGAAACTAAGTGCACTAAGAGCTTAAGATACAAAGAGGATAGCTAAATAAAGATTTTGATGGGAGTTTCTTTCTCTCAATCTGTATTTGATTCTATAAATTTAGGGGGCAAATTGAATAAAGTTATCAAGTTCAAAAGTGATTTGTGTTTTATACCTTTATTTAATTCTATTGCACGCAGTCATCTTATATACTACAGAGATTTTCGTAGCTCGGTTTTATAAGATAACATTGTATTGAAATGAATCAGATCTAATCATACAAAATACAGAGTGAAAGGCTGAAATCAAAGTGAAAGCGAGGTAACCTTGTCAGCTTTCCATAGCCCTTCTTCATACTGGTACCACCTCATGAGCCCTTCATCGTTTCTGGTACGCTGACACATGATGCAAGAGTCTTTCATGCACGTAACGAATTCGCGTAGCCGAGAAGGCCGAGGTGGCATTTCTATAACAAGGCAATGAGATATGTTAAGAACTTCTAGGTTTCGTAAGTCGTCCAAGATTGAGATCAGGGTATCCTTCAGAAGCATCGAGCAGCGGAGGCTCAGAACCCTTATCTTCGGTAGATACATTATTATTGTAGCAACAAATGAATTGTCCAAAGGTCCCATCACCTTGAGTTCACTGAAATTTTTGCAATTATTGGCGATTTCTTCCATGAGATATCGAGGGTTTGCTATGCTAGGCATTGTCAAGGAATCGAGATCCTTCCAGATGCAAATCGCTTTGCATATTCCGGTCCTATTTACTCTGTTCCAAGCCGGCATAACAAGCCGTCGGAGGCACGGGCACCTGCGGTAAAGAAAAACACAAGATCGCCTTCCAATGCATGCACCAAGTGAAAATCTGGCCCGTATGTAAAAGCTCAATAAAATTACCTTTCAGCAGTATATGTCAATTGCTCATGGCTCACGTACAGATTGAAGTGAAAAATCAAGGTCCGTATGTTTCCCTGGCTGAGGCTCAAAGATGTCTTCAACAAACGGGTCAACTTCTTTTCGGAACAAACATCTACATATACGTAAGGCTCCGACACAATTCTGATAAAATTTGACCTCATCGCTGATAAATCAAGTGTTTTCCAGAGCAGAGGATCGCAACAGGCCATGCGCCACGAACTGCAGACATGAGCAACGCCCGATGTTAACTGATTGATGTCGAGACACCGGAAGATCTTCACCAAGATATCAGTGTCCAAGTCCTCCCATCTCCTTGAAACACGCACACTTTCTTCCATTCCAACGAATTTTTCGCAGTCTCCGACGAGTTTCACAGCACCATCAAGCCTATATATCACAGACATGCACCATAGAAGGTTTAGTGTTTTATGTACTTGAGAAAGAAGCTTCAACCTATATAGATGTGCTTTTTTTCTTACCTGAGCTTCACTGATCTATGCATATACAACAGGACCGTTACCTTAGGACAATTATGAATTCAGCATTCTTCCAACAGTGAACTTTGCTCTGTTCTTGCCGAAACATCATCTGAATTTCCTCTGAGCTTTCACCTCATCTTAACCAAGTGAATTGAATTCTTATTGCTTTTGTTTATCAACTCTTTTAAATTGAAAAAGATAAGTCATTTTCATATAGTTTTGAGCATTTTCGTAGAACTTTCCGATTAACGTTCTCTCGGTTTTTCCGATGATTCGGTGTCGGTTGTTTCCAACTTTCGATCACTATGCTTTTGCCTTGCTTCTTCGTGTCCAACCTTCAGACTATTCGTTTTACCGTCAAGCATTGCCGGGCTTCGACTCAACTACACATTTTGCTCAATCCTGGTCCGATTAAAGACCCAACTCAAATAGCCCGATATCCATTTACAGCTCTTCCTTTCTTTGACTATATCAGATTTGATATTGAAAAATGTTATAGTTAATCTATTATCATAATATCTTGTGTGTGTATATATATATATATATTAATCATTTATGCAGTGACGAATTTAGAAAATTTTATAGGCCGAACCAATAAAAACATAATAAACTTTTATCTAAAATAATCTATATATCTTTTAATTTAAAAAATTAATAAAAATTATTGTAAGGTATGGCTCATAAATATACCGGTAAAGAGGATAGGGGATGGAGCGGAGTGAGCGAACATCAACTGTCCTTACAAAGAAAGTCTTGTAGAGGGGGTTACGATTATGTGAGTTGGGGGTGCGGGGACTGTGGCCCCGCGGTACAGTACAGGGTTAATTTTGTAATTATGTATCAGGATTTTCTATTATAAATAGAGATGTAACCTAAACCTATTATCATTGAATAAAAATTTTCTAGCGCCGCCTAGGCACCGAGGACGTAAGCACATTACCGAACCTCGTTAAAATTCTTGTGTTCTTTCATTTACTTTGCCCGATTTATCAACAATTATATACATGCATAGGTGTATATAATTTGAGTCTCCAATCAAATGGAAAATTCAAACAATTGAAACATGTAGGAGAGCCCTAATTAGACTTTATCAGGATTTGAAAGAATAGGTATAATAGGGGTAGGTCGAAGTTGAAATTATCTGATTTCGTCATTTTTTTTATACCCAAAGTTTGGTAGGAGAAAAGCTTACATATGTAAATTGTGTAAGCACCACGAAACGTTGGTATTTTAATATATATATATTTCTGAATTCGTATTATTTATAAGGATCACAGATAAATATGTGTATTCAAATTATGTGAATGTAGATTCGATTTAATTAATTCAAATTATTTTATTTTTTTTATTAAATTAAATATTCATCACTATATTTTATCACTCCACACATTCATTTGTTAAAAAAATTATAATATATTTTCAACGTAAAATATTTTCTTCTATCTACGTTATAAGAATAATATAGTCCGATATTGTATACTCTGCCTAATCTTTTTAGCTCTTTCATTTTGGCATGTGTATTCGGAAACGCTTGTAATGGACAGTTCATAAATCCCATAAAGAGACATTGGAAAAAAATTATAGGGTAAATTATGCGTTTAGTACTTAAACTATCCGTTTTAATATTTAACCTTTTAATTTTTTTAAAATCATACATAAAATTTAGGTATGATTTTTTAAAACCATATCTAACATTTGGTTTTTTGTTTCATTTTAGTACCTCACCGTTGAAAACTTGACTCGTTTATTACATAAAATATCAGTTTTGATCCGTTTTAATACAAAAACTAAGTGTTAGGTATGGTTTTAAAAAGTTAAAAGTTCAAATACTAAAATGGATTAGTTTAAGTACTAAATGCGTAGTTTACTACAAAAATATAAGGGTGTTAGACAAATTTAATAAATAATGGAGATTAGTTAGTGGGTGAAGAAACTTTAATTAAAGGACAAATTGACAAGAGCTTGATAAAGTTGACATAACCAAATTTATTATTATTTTTATTTTACTTAATTAAATATGAAATGTATGCATAAATGATGTTAATTCTATTAATCCATGATCCATTGTTTTATGATTAGAGACATATATAAATATTAATATCAATATTGTAACAAAGCATGTAACACACATTTTTTTAATTATTTGCATGACATTGTTTTATATTAATTAATAATAAATAATTGGATGGTCAAATTTATGCACCAATTAATTTGATTGAAATTTAAGATGGGATATTAAAACGATTGCTTTGTAAGAAAACCAGCTCACATCCTTTTTATTATTTTATTTAAAATAAAATAAAATTAGCAAAGTGAAGTAATTAATATGCAACGAGTTATAAATTATTCACATCACATACCTTATTAATGATTTAATCCAATCAGTTTCATTGGTTAATTAAATTTGTAGGATTTAATCATCGTCTTGATGTTGATTGATTTTATCAAATAAATCACTCACTTGATAGTTTTGTTTTGTTTTATTTTGTTTTTTTAGGTGAAAGAGTAACTTTTGCCCCGTAGTAGTCTCAATTTATTATTTTTGCCTCTATGATATTTTTACATCAATTTAGATTCTGAAGTTGCTCAATTACATCATTCTATACATTATCCCTAACGTAAAACCCTAAATTATAAACAATAAATCCTAAACCATAACCACATAACCTTAAACCCTAAATCCTAACTTAGGGGTTTAAGTTAGGGGTAGGGTATAAGATGATACAATTAAACAACTTTGAAGGTTAAATTGATGTGAAAATACGACAGGGACGAAAATGATAAATTAGGTGTATTACAGTTGTAAATGTGACTCTTAAGCCTTTGTTTTATTGATAAGAGAAAAATAAAAGATATAAAATGATTCTTCGACTATGGAGTGTTGCTTTGTTAAATCTCTCGACTATTAAAAGATACAAAACGGTCACCTGACTATACATTATGTTCCAAACTCGTCTTTTTTCTTTAAAATTGGACGATAGTCTTAGCTTAATGTTAACTTGTTGGCTGTGATATAATAAAATTCGATCCCAAAATCTTAAACGACTATCACATCCCATTCATCATGTTAACGTCAAGCTTAAACAATCGCCCATTTTTAACGAATATAGAATATAATGAATAGTCGAGTGATCATTTTATAACTTTTAACATTTAAGTGACTCAACAAAGTAACACATCATAATCGAATGACCATTTTATAATTTTTAATAATAAAAAATTTTAATAAAGAAGTACCATATAGTCTGGAGATCATTTACTTTCTTTACCCTAAAAAAAAACTACGGTATTTCATGTGTGTGTGTATATAGTAACCAACTTTGAAAAAAGTTATTATCAAGATTAATGAAGTCTGAAAAACCTAAAGAGCCAGAAGCAATTTCAACGAAATTATAAAGAAATTATTATGATTGCCTGGAAGATGTAATTTTCTAAATATATATATATTGAATATATGCAATTTGTAGTTTAGTTTCCCAACAAGTGATACAAAGACCTTAGAGGTTAGGTATTATAAAGTCAATAAGAGTGTAATTAAGCAATATTGCTTTTTAAAATTAGGGTAACATTGACATTTTCTCAACTCAAAAATTCATATAGGACAAATTAACTTTTAGTCCCTATGTTTAGTTATCTTTTTCTACTTGGTCCCTGATTTTCTTCAATTAACTCGTAGTTTTTTTCCTTTTTAAAAATGATTAAGCATAAACTAGTCTTGGCTTTGTTTTATAATTTAATGATCTTTTTGGGGATTGCCTATTTAATACTTTTGCTGATGTTCCTGTAGCTTGCCTTATTCAGCCTCATTGCTTATTTCTCTGAGTTTCAGGCAAAAAAAATGGGTTCCAAATCGTCTGAGAAGTCAGGAATTAAGCACAGGAAGGGCTTATGGTCACCTGAAGAAGACCTTAAGCTCAGAAACTATGTCCTTAAACATGGCCATGGTTGCTGGACCACTGTTTCCATCAATGCAGGTCTACTTCTTCATCCCTTTCATCATTTATGATATGTATGTGTGTAAATGCATGCATGTATGTATGTACGTATTTACGATTGTGTATATGCATGTATGTATATATGTATTCAGGTCTACAAAGAAATGGGAAAAGCTGCAGATTAAGGTGGATTAATTACTTGAGACCCGGTTTGAAGCGAGGCATGTTTTCGGCACAAGAGGAGCACACAATCCTAACCCTTCACCATTTGTTAGGCAACAAGTAAGTGATCCGATTTTGTACTCTTTATTTATATTCGAACAAGTGTCGAGTAAAATTACTTCATGAAAAACAAAGAATCAGAACCTGAACTAATAATGGGATGGCATGTTTTGTCATTGACTAGATGGTCCCAAATTGCACAAAGTTTGCCTGGAAGGACTGATAATGAAATCAAGAACTACTGGCATTCATATCTGAAGAAAAGAGTAGCAAAAGATGAAGAATTGGAAGCTCAAACCAGGAATATTCAATGCACCACTACATCAAGCTTAGATAACACGGATTCCACTTTGTCTCCTGAAGACCTGAAAATGCCAAGTTTCGAATCCTTCCCATATATTGCAGCACCCTTGGACCAAGCTGTTGCAAAACATTTTAACTTCTCTAGAGAGCCTTACAGGAGCCCGATGCCGATATTCGCGGAGTGGCTTCCAGTCGATCAAGAAGGCGGAAGCTCTACGAGTTCAGGTATCTCGGATGGATTTAATTTCGGTTCGAGTTCAAACTTCCAGGACCCTATCATGGATGCATATTTAGGATCACTCGGCAATGATCTTCACGATGGACTAAGCAATGCATCAATGAATGAAATGCTTAACTCGCAATTCGAGTTCAGAACAGGAAACGAACTCGTGGGACTTGTATCAGGGGATGACATAAACAGTGATTTCCATATGAACAACGATGTAATGTACATTTATGGGCAGATTTACAATTTGTTTCTATTACAGAGTTGATACTTCTTCCATGAAGTTGTTGCGGGAGACGCCCTTTGTTAATGTCAATATTACAGATTCCAAATAGATTGTATCTTGAATTGTTCTTTATTAACAAGTAAAATTTTACATTTCTGAACCTTTTTCGACGGTATCCAAATATCGAACCTGTTAAATTTATATGAATTAACTGAACAAGGAACACTGATAAGAACAAGATTGATAATGAAGAAACTCATTTCAGTAGGATCAGTTGCCTGCAACTCAACTTGTATTCCATCCAATTCCGTCTTGAATCTGTTCCCAACAATTGATGCATCAGGTGACCATGAAATGAAGAAAAAATTGCTTTTCCGGCAGTTTTCAGCAGTAACAAAATCAAAATTGAAGACGGTATATTGTCATACATCAACAGGCAGAGGCGCAGTGAAATCGTTGTAGATTTCTGCAGGGCTGCCAAGCTTGTCAATCACCACTTGCTGGTCCTGAATCTTGAAAACTGTGAGAAGATAGTTCCTCTTTGCTTTTAGCTCCGAGAATTTCACCTTACATTCATCGTACACCCTAGCAAACCATTTTGTTCGACATTGTTAGTTGTTAGTTGTTACTCCTTGGAACAGGGTTCCTGGTGAAATAGTTTAGGTCTTCAATAGTGATCTCCAAGCGCGATTCTTAAAACGTATAACCGTATAAGAGATGACGATCAGTTGTTGAAAGCATTCATTATCCCGTTGTTCAAAGTTATAACAAAGCTATAACGGTGTCAACCAACATTTTAGTGGCACACACTTAGTAGCTACATGTTTTCTCTACGGTAAGGATCAACACAAACGAACAAGTATTCGACATTTTTATTTTATTATTACAGAAACTACCATTCCATATCTTCCTAAGGTTCAACGTTTTGCCAAACTGAAACTGGCACCAAAGCAGGTTCACCACTAACAGATACTCGGGTCTCGTAATATTGTCAAACCTCAAAACAGGGGTAAGCTCGGTGGGAACCGCACATGCATCCATTGTCTTTCATAGGTTGATAAATGGATCCATCCATTATCATCAAGCAAAGACAGCTTCAATTCATAGAGCTTCTTCTTCGGAGGCGATCCGTCATCCTGAATCATGTCATTGAGTATCTTCAATGCGGTTCCAAGCCTTCCCCACCTTTTCTCATGCAATACATAGACAGTGCCATATTTTGATGACTTTATATCTGCCCATTTTGTCAGCTCTTTAAAGTTCTCCTCGAATAAATCTGGCTGATCAGAGCCCCCAGCTTTCTCACCCTGTAATGGCAATGATCATAGTTTTAAATTCTAATGCATAAGCTACCATAACAATTGCAGATATGACATACCAGCCCATTCTTCAATAAAAGAATTTAATCAGTCTCCGCAATTTGAAAAACCAATCATTACCTTTACAGATTCAATCTCAGCCAGTGCCAGTCCTTTTTGGTAAAGTGCCTCTGCTAATTGATCACGAGTCGTCTCCATCTTCTTCTTAATTTTCTGGAAAAAAAAAAAAACGGAGTCGCAACTTAGTGTGTAAACCACAATTGCAAAACACCTAGTGATGCACTAGAAAGGGCAACACAAAAGCATAAATGAGATTGCAGAACAAGAAACACATTGAAGATCATCATGAACATTGAAAAACAAAATCAAGAAAATTACAAATTTTACTTGAATATCATTTTGTTGAATTTACTAAGAGGTTGACCAGCATAGTAAAAGCAAAATGATGGAAAGGGCAGAGGGAAGGGCAATGTGACGATTTAAAACCGAACCTCTGCATCTTCATCCTCAGGATCACATTTAAGTGAAAAGAATTTTGCCAATTCATCTCTGTCAATACTATCAACCACCTCATTTGCTGCACTTATAACCTGCAAAGTTAAATGGCTTTAGTTAAGGAAAACAAACTTTTATACAATTAAAGTGAGTCATCAGTATTTTCATTCCAAAATCTTCTTTTCATACAACTCACCTCTTTGTAATGGTCGATTTTGCCCCCACTATTGCTTCTTGAAAGCAAACTTTCCAAGATCTTAGCAAGCAATGGAGTGTATTTAGGGTACTCAGACTGCCAAGGAACACATGATACATATCAAAATAGGTACAAAGCAGTCTAAATGGTATATGCTGGCTTCATTAGTAAATTGATCACTGAACTCTCAATGTGCTCCCAGATTGCACTAAAAACAGACAATAAGAACATGACACATTCTTAACAGATGTCATACAATCTTTTTGGGGGGTAAAATGAGAAAAATGATAGTTTAGGTACAACTTCTAACAAAATTAGTACAAATCAGGGAATTGGGTATAGTTTGGGGGCCAATTTGCTAATAAAGCCTATAAGCTAGACTAGGATTATAGTACCCACTAACCCAGAAACACTTTGACAGAAAGTGGTGAAAGTAATGCTTAGGGAGAGAAGATGAATCATAAAGAAGCGTTTCAACTCTTTGAACAGAATAAACCTAAACTAAAGAAAGGGCAGAGCTCTTACCTTGAGAGATTGAGCTAATTTTTCCCATTCGGAGAGATCTTCATCAGTATCTTGCTTCAAGCTTCCGAAAACCTTTATTTTCACATCTCGTACCTGATTGAAGTATTGAACAAGCATTACTCGATATGCAAAAACCAGTAAAACAAATGTTTCAAAAAGCTAATTAATCTTGATTAAATTTGTTTCTGTTATCTTAATTAATACTATACGATAGTAAAAATCTTGAAAATTAAATGTGCTATTTGAAGCAATGAACACCAAATGTGATCATGAATATATATTTTTTGTAAAACTTCATCAAGTTAATATAATAAATTATTATGGTTTGCTACAATTAAAAAATATGATGAAATAGAATTTTACAACTATTAGATCATCAAATATCAAGTTTAACATGAACATTTTTTCAAGTACCTCTTCTTCTAAACGTTCACCAATAGATTTTGTGCTAACCGATGAACCTTTGCCTTTGTCTTCATCAATCTGACAACAAAATCTCATTAGCCATGGCAAAAGAAGAAAAAAGAAAACAGAACAAAAAAGTAAAGTTCCATAGTGCATCACTTGAACATAGAAGCATTAATAGGGTAAAAGAAAACAAAACACGAAAGTAAAGCTCCAAAGTGAATCACTTAACCATCAAAGCATTAATAGGCCTTTCCAAAATGTACCAATAAAAGATATAATAGAAATAAGTATATAATCCGTAGGTAGAGACAAAGGTATCACAACCTTGCTGGGTGGTACAACATAAGAGATCTGATAGGATACAGGATTGTTATGTTGACTTTTGCCATCTTCAGCATATGATAGCTTCCCATGAGATATTGATCCTATCAATACAGATCCTTGCGAGCAACTCTGCGGGAATAATTCAAGTGCTACTTTAAATCTTCTAAGCTATTAATTAAGTACCAGAGATATAAAATATGTACCTTTGGGAGCTTATCTTTGTTTGGTGGGCTTATATAAAATGATTCCTTTTTACTGGAAAACAATGGTTCAAATTCATTAGAGTACAAATAAGAAAACTTGGATATAATTGTTGTGGGTGGCCTGGATGAATGATATATCTAAGAAATTAGACATACCCCGGAACCAAAATAGAGGATTTAAAGGTACCATTTCCCATCACAGGGCCGTCTGGTTCAGAGAAAAAGTTCAATGGAATAATGTCCTGGTTTCAAAATAGCCACAGGCATAGTAATAAGCGTAGCTCATAAACCTCTCCAAACAGCCATAGAAGATGACAAAAAGTAAAGAAATCAACACTAATTTAGAACAATTTGAAAACGCATCTATTGGTATGCTATAGTCTAATATCAAAATGACATGGCCTAAAAGACAACCATTTTTTGCATCCATGCCTCATAATATGGAAGCAGAATTACAAAGTTCTTTAATTATAAGAGCCATCTATAACAAAAATAAAGAAAACAAACAAGGGCACAATATTACCTTCTCCTCCAATTTCCTTTCCAGAAATAGAACTAATTGCTTCATTTTTTCCAAGTACTGGACATTGTCATGCCTGAAACAAGATTAAGTCAATATAAGAGAAGGCAAACGAGGATCATAGCACCTTGTTAGAGAAGATTGATACAATGAACATTCATGTTTTGCAGCAAACTCCAATGTTACAAGATAAGTCATACTATTCAGGAATTTCTTTAGTTAGCTAAAACCGGAACAGACGGCTTATGGAGGAGTTTTGTTGAGTATATAGGGAGGAGACAATCCCCACCGACATTCAAAATCCTCCATCCAGGTAGCAACACTGCATCTGCCACAATACATGAAATATTTAGTGAAAAGTATATCAATATGTACCTTAAATACAGCTGCAACGTGTATTCTCCCTTCGGAAGTTTTGAAAAGTCTGGATAACAATCACCCATTGCATATACACGCTATAATTGATGCAAGCAAAAAGATTCCCACAGGTCAACATAAGTAGGTGCAAATTAAAAATCCAGTTATGGTAAAATAGATTTTTGACATATGCCTCAAGCACTGGAACTGTAAAATGCAGATTCTACTTGATATGAAATAAAGCATAAGTTCCCAGATTTGTTGCTATTGATTCAAATGATTTACAGTAGCAACTGTACCTTGTTTGTGTCAGAAATCATGTAAAATTGGGACTCAAATTTCGTGTCATATATACGATTGTTGAGAAGTGGAATATGAGCTTTCACTTCTGCCCCGTCTTCCAATTTAAAGCGATAACTATAGAAGCAAAAAAATAAAGTAAAGAAAAGAGAAAGCACATTAGTTGTAGCGAAAGACTACATGATAAACTGAATTTTTCACAAGCCACCGAAGAAAAAGCGCACGTTAATGTCAATGCCAGTATTTGTTTCCCTGATGGTAACTTGTCACGATTGGTCGGAAGAGTACAAAGTTTTGCCTCAGTAGGTCGATATGGAACTCTTATCTGCATATTGAACATGATAAGAATCGGAAAATTCAAAAGAATGTCTTATTAAATTGGAGCAAGCACATCAAAAGGAAAGAAAAAAATATATAGAAAGATAAAGCATAAATTACCTACATTACACTGTACAAGTAGCTTGCATTACCTTGTTTAAAGTGGCAGTAGGGGCAAGTTTTTCTGAGGCCAATAGGGCTTCAGCCTCAATTCTGATGGGTGCTTCACTTCCATCTAGGACTACTTCTGTTCTGTTGACTCCAATTCCATGAAAGACAATCTAAATCATTCATTAAGAAAAAAGAAATATAAGAATCAAAATGCAAGATCATTTTATCAACACAAAATGTAATTCCCTAGTTCTCTTCATTGAGATACCACAACTTGCAGAGCATGCAACAGTAAATATGTACCATATACTTGTAAGGTTTTCACAAGCCAAAACTAAAACAAAACTTAAGTAGAATGAAGCCCTCTTGACATAGGCATGCACCCAAACTGGGGAGACAAATCAACAGAAGAAATCAGAAATTTAGAAAATTGAAAGAAAAAAAAGTCATTTCAACAAAATGTTCTAGGGTGGCAAATATTCACTAACCGAAAAATAATAGAAGCGGTGGTTATTAATATAAAATAAAATCAATCAACTAATTATTATTGCAGAAAAGCTCTTAACCGGAGAAAGTTTCTACATTTTTCAACAGAAATTACCTCAAAATCTACAAAAGTTGCCTCATGACTTCCCATGCCACTCGACCAAAACTGGGCTATTGCTAGTTCCATTGTTTGACCACCAACAACAGGAAAGTCAAAGCTTCTGGCAGTAGGAGAAGAAAATGTTACAACACTTTCCCACTTGATAGGCCTTTTCAATGGACAAATCTGCATATTTCAAAACAAGTCAAGTCAAGGCCTAGGTCAATCTAGTATGGGTTTTCACTGCTATACACTCATACCTGGAGAGTGTCAACAAAAAATCGTCTAGAAGTATCAAACCCATATGTCCTCATGGTAGCCTCAACCCAACTAGCACCAAGTGGTACCTCTATATACCTCCGTTCTATGTGGCCTATTTAAACAAGACAACCACAAAGGGAAAGAATGAATCAACTCATGGAAAAATAATAGCATGAAAAGATTCTTTAACTTATAAAAGGTGCGTAAAATGAAGCTGGGTTCAATTCTGTGCCAAAGAACCTGGAAGGAATGACATCTTTGAGAAAGAAACCAGTGGTGGTCGATTCAATACAGCCTTGGGCTTTGTTATAGTAATCGGGATTCTGAACAGGGTACCACGCCATGGGGCTTTGCAATCAATTCCATAAACTTCATAATAGTGCAGACCATCACCAAGATGGGTGGGATCAACAACTATGCTGAAAAGGAGAAAATAATGCACCATTGTAAAACAAGAAATCTCCCAAGATCACAGTGCTTAGCATCCTCCCTAAAACCACCAGACACCCAAATACTTAACAGGTGTGAGATAACACTACTTAAAACTCCTCATCTATATCTGATAGGACCTACACACGGACAACTTCACTGGAAGTCATCGACCTCTTCATGGGGTTATGCAGGTAGAACAACATAAAAAACCCCAGAATCTAATACCACTTCAGAATCAAACCAAAAACCAATTAGCAAGAGGTGGAGGGACCCAACTTTAACAGAAAACCATAAAAAAAATTGATTCATCCGTTGTACAACTGACAAGAGGGTTGCAAAATAAACATATTTTTGTAAAATAACTCACAACAATGAATGAAAATAAATAAAAAATGGAGTTGATAACCAAACTGCACATAATTATTAGAATAGACACTTTCACATGGATAGTGATGATATTTACTAACTTGAAGGTGCGCCCATTATTAGTAAGGAGAAGAAACTCAGGTGCTCTCACAACTGCATTATCGCTAGAGCATAGCTCAATACACTCCTCAAAGGGAACCATTTCTTCTAATTTACTTGCATCGTCATGAAACTTTGGTTCAACTTGCACTGTCCACTATATAAAATATAAGTTTAGCAAATTTATAACTCAAGGATAAGATGAAAACATGAAGTTGTAAGTGGGCCACAGTGGTGAGAGAGATCAGAAAGCGAAATAGTTAAATTTTTTTACCTATAAAAATTGAACACATGAAGAAAGGAGTACCGCATTATAATTTAGTAATAAATGGAAAGCAAAGACAAAAATAGCCATGAATATAAAATTTATCAATTATATAAATCATCACACCTCAGTAGATTGTTGGCAAGCAGTAGCCTCTCTTAGGTAGATACCTCGCGATGTAGGAGCTGCAAGTGAAATACGCCATCACATGAATCGTAAATGCATGAATATGATGGACCAAAAAATATGCAAAGGAATAGGTAGCAGCAACTTTGCCACCTTATGCCACTAAACCACCGCCTCCTCAGGTCAAACTGATGCAAGAAACAGTTAGGTACCATAGCAAATCATCTAGAATCCATCATGAGGACTCAAACTTCTAAACGGTCTCATTCTCTAAATGAATGCTCATAACAAACAGGATGTTAAACAAAAATCAGCAAAAAACTGATCCCCAATATCAATGTACGTCCTCAGAAATTAGATAAAACATAAAAAGTTATCATCGCTTGCTCTCAGCACTAGGTAGAGTCTATAAATTTAAAACAAAAAAAATAACACTTCTATAATTGGTTTGCAGATTGCCACTGATATTCGATGAACATCCACAAATTTATTGGGCACCTAGGTATAATAGTACCAAACACATTGAATACTGGATAACATTGTCAGCATATCAACTTCAACTTACTCGATTTTCCAGACTGATTGACCTTTATTTGATAAAAAACACATGAAAGATGCCGAGACTTCCGTATATATTCATATGCTCTGTCAAACATAAAGAGTCAAGATAAGTTCAAAACTAAGAAAACTATATATATAAAGAAGCAAAGGCTAGGGGCCAAATTTCTTACGAGTGAACTTGCATAAGCCCTTGTCCAGTGGTTAGCTTATCTTGGGGCAAACCACCTACAGGAATGGATGTATTCTCAAGAGCTTTCCTTACACTATATGGGCTCACAGGAATTCTCTCAGCCTGCAGGTAACATTAAATAATCTGCCTTTACACGCAACAACATAAGGGGAAATGAGGGGAACCCTCAAATAATCCAGAAAAAGACCTTCATGGCACTAATAAGCAGCGCAATTCCCCCACAAGCAGATGGAGATGCCATTGATGTTCCATTCATGAGCATGCGCCCTTGGAGAGTCCAAGTAGGAACAGGAGCAACAGCCCCTCCAGGAGCACTTATACAAACTCCAAGGTCTCCATCAGCTGTTGGTCCTCGGCTGGACCTGCATCCATCGCAACCAATTTCAATGAGTAAGAAACAAACAAGAAAAATGTGGGACATCATGTTTGAAGGCCAAACATGATAGAATTGGAATTATCTTACCAAGTGTACTCAAGCCCTTCAGGAGGAGGTTCAACTACAGAATGAGCACCGGCAGCCATTGCTGGAGAGACATATGCACCAACTCCTATGATGCTTGAAGAGGTACCACCTGGAGCACCAACTGTGCTCAATGCTGGCCCACTATTACCAGCACTACTCACAAATATCAAGCGATGCTTATTCACGGCCTAAATAAGACACAAGGATGGCACCCATAACATATCAGAGATGAAAATTAAGGTGAACTTATAAAAAATTGTGCCAATTGGAAAATTCGGCGTTCTTACTTCGTTGACAAGATCAACAAAGCGTCCATAGTCAGGTAATAATGTATCTTCTCCATAGCTCATGTTGATCAGATCACACTTATGCTGTCAATGGAAAAGGAGGTAAAAAACCAAATGGTAAGGATTAAAATGCAATATATTTAAGTCAGTGATATCACACATGGACAAAAGGAGACTCAAATATCATTTGCAGTACTTGACTGAGAGACGACATGCTAGAATGGCTACCCATCAGTACTAAATGCACATATACATTGACAGTTAAATGAACATATTTTGTGTTCATATTGAAGTATGGAACACAGCCTGGATACATGCCAGACGGTTATCATAAAAATGCACTTTTACCCACCTCCACAGCAGCTATCAGTGCCCGTGTCAAGCCAGTTCCAGTCTCCATTGAACCTAAGCGCGAGTCTCCAATTTTACAAGAAATTAACTGTGCTCCAGGTGCAACACCATTCAATAAGGGCTCCTATACCATCATGCAAATCAAAAGACATTTTTTATTGAAATTCAGAAAGAAAAAAAAGGGGGGCATAAACCAGTTAGTTAAGCTTGAAGTACCTCTGGGTGGTAAGCAGTAGCAATACCAGCAACATGAGTAGCGTGAGGAGAGCAGTCAGTAACAATACTTAAGATATTTCCCTCATCATACACATTAACAGCAAACGTACAAGCATCTAACTTGCTAAATATGCCATATTTATGTTCAATCCTGCAAGATGGTTTCAGGGGAGTAATTACGTTTTTTTCCAGAAGTACAAAGCATAAAACCAAAGAGGGACACTTCAATTTACTCAAGACATGTTCTTAACAATATGACATAATATGAAAATAGAATGCCACATGCAACCAACCAAATCAGATTTAACATAGAACTGCATCAGTATTAGCGTTCTTCCATCATTAAAAACTATTTCATTGCCTTCATGTAAATATCTACTAAAGAAAGATTAGCCACCAGGTGATAAGATTAATAAAAAAGATGGAAACCTGTAATTAGTTAGGGGCACAAAATCAGCCAGTTTCCCACATTCAGGATCATCATGAAGACTCTGAGTGTCAAGAGCAACCCTCCATAATTCTCCATCATGCCATACAACAGCATCTATAACAGGACCTTTATCATCGTAACTCTAGCACATGAACATGGGAATGCTTAGAACAATATAAATTAGTTAAATAGAAGTGATCAATAAATCCATGGCACTCACATCACCCTGCTTTCTTAAGATGTCTATTTTATTCTGGAGATCTTCACGAGCCCTTTTCAATTTTGGATCCTCCAACTTTGTATGTTTCTGCATATCCACATTGTAACCTATTATACACAGCGATAGTAACAAATGCATGCTGCACAAGTATGATGATATGAGTTTACCAACCAGTGAATGCTATAAGCAACACAGAAACCATAAGATGCACGAGATTTTTCTGTTTATCCCTAAACATTACTTTTATCGTGTAAGAAAAAGAACATATTTTGAAGCATAAGCATGATTATTGATGAATGAATAAAACAAGGGTAAACTGATTACTTGTCACCAAAAAAGAATGAAAAAAGTGTATAGAAAGCATGTAATCTTTTTTTTTTGGTTAAATAAAGAAAGAGAAAACGCATCCCTCAGTCTCATATATTTTAATCATATAAAATCCTTTATGGCATATGCAAATGGAAGTCTATCTTTCTCAAATACAGCACTGTCACAGCATGAGATGCATAAATAATTTTGAAGAACTAGTTCATTTTCACATAATGGCTGCAAATATATATATATATGTACATATATAATTTGACCATTTGCATGCAATTAAACTGTTTTATATAAACTTAAGAAAAATTGTTTGAAATAAAAAAAATCATGTCTATGATCATACAGAAAGGGATTACCAAGTGAAAATTTCAACAACCTGGTCAAATTCATCAAGATGCAATACAGCCTTAGCAATCTCCTCCTGGTTTTTTTCATCCCATTTTTTCTTTCTTTCTTTCTGCAACATGAATAATGATAAGACAATGGTTGGATCATCGGTCAACTTATCATAGGCCAATAGCAATAAAAAGTTCGGATGAATTTAACAGAAATTAAATCTTACTTCAAGTCGTTTAGTCAAAGTGTCCGTAAAGAGCTCATAAACCAACTTATAGCCCACATGCCACTCACCGGAAGGGTTTTTCCATGAAGAATTGACAACCAATGAAGCTCCTATATTTCATTTTAAAAAACAGAACATGGTATAAGAAAATAAAAGTCAACTCGTTATTGATGATTATTTATGCTACACAGAGTATATATTTTTTTTTTGATAGAAGTTGGAGGTCTCATTAAAAACTCCCTTCGTATTCGTCCACATACTAAGAAGTATGTTAACGAACATAGGAAGGAAGAAAAGAGTACCTCATATTTCATTGAATAAAACGCCTCATTACATATGAAAACACGAAATACCCTCAAACGAGGATAAACACCATTACAAAAAACATAATCACCTAAAGCTCTCACCTTCTCGACCACTAGCAAGAATCCAAATACCACACAAGTATTAGAGAATAATCTACCATGCTCTATGCATTTGAAGATTCGCACATTCTCTTAACAAAGATGGCATTAAGGAAATTTCCGAGAATTACATGAAAATAGTCTCAATTGATCAGTTGAGAGAGAGAATGCATGAATAACCTATCACTTATCATTTAATACAGTAAGTTTTAGCTACCACTCCAATGTAGAACCGAAAGCATGGAAAAACACAAATGTGAAGAATCTTTTAAACTAACAAAAATACCCTTTATTATTTACAAAATAATATATCTTCCATATCATGTTGAGTTACACTTCTTTTTCTATGTTGAATCAGACTTCCCCTATAATGTATAAATTATTCACGTTGCTTGATAAGAAAACAACCTGAAGCTCCGCAAATTCTACCGTCTGCATCAGCCTTCACCACTTTTGAGGTATCAACATCGCCGCTCCCAGTACTAAAAAAATACTCAAGTGACAATAATAAGAAAAACGAAAAGAAGTAAATAACCGGTTTCCAAAAGGATTTAAGTACCAGTCAATAACATCTAAGATCTTTGGTTTCCCATCTGAAGTTATTTGCAAGCCAGCAGCAGCCGGGTCAACACCAGAATCTGGAAACAACAATTTAAATCAAATGATGAACTATCAAGAATCAAACCCTAGCTTTCTTTTTCTATTCATTTTTACATATCATCCTTTTATTATCATTAAAAGTCAAAAGGAAGGTACCAAAGATTGCGATTAGTGCTCCGCGACCGTCGTAATGAGGATGAGATTCGATGAAGCGATCGGCGCCAATCTCCTTCTTCGGCATCAGAGAAGCTAAGAAAGTGAACTCGTTCAACTTGAAATTGTGCGGAAGCCCACTCACTTCACTTCCGTCGCCGCCACCGCAAAACTGATTACTAGTCTCGATCGAAGAACAAGGCATCGCAGAATATAGATACCGCCGCGAATCCCGCTTCCGCTTCGATGATTTCGCTCCTTTTCGCCTCTTTCGCTTTAAATTATTATTACTAATTATATTTGAGCTTTTTCAGTTGGGCCCGGTGAGATCAGTAGAGAAGGGAAAGTGCAGAATGGCGGAGATATTAAGGCTAAATAGAGATTTCAGGATTTCATTCCAGCTTAAATATCGTGTCACGTTTCTGCCCTTTCCGTTTAAGGGTAAACTACATCAAATATAGCTGAAATTTATGGGTTATATCGTTTGAATTACTGAGTTTTTATTTTCTTCAATTATAACATTAAACTTTAGTTTTAACTTTATCTCTTTCATTGGCCGATAAAAATTTAAATAATACGATGACATACATAAAATGATATCATTTTAATGTGATATTGATGCATTTTATGTATTAAACTTTATGAATTTATTAATTTTATCATTAAATTTTTTAATGATTTCACTATATTTTGTTGATCATTATTAGCAGTCAATTATTGTATATCATCGATATTGTTTCATGAAAAGGTCGGTATTAAAATGATCGTAACTCTTTTTATTCTTTTAGGGTTAGATTTTTATATAACACATTCAAAATCGATGGAATTTAAAAAAAAATCTATCATTTTTCTAGTTTCTAGGGGTTTTCTTAAATTTGAGAGATTTCTTGTCTCTTCAAAAAATTCAAACGGTGAGACTTTTTTTGAGAAGACGAACAAAATACCTCAAAATTAGCTTCATCAAATGGTCATCAAAAGAGATCAAAATATTAACATGTTAATTTTTTAAATGGATTTTCATTAATTTTGAGTGAGTTTTGTGAAAAATAAATCCAAAAAAAAAGAATGAGGAGTGAAATATGAATGATTTGTTACCAATCTTGTTGCGTAAGATAATTGATGACCAGCGGTGGTTGGTTGTCGACAATGACCAAAAAAGTACAGTGTCAAAAAGTAAATTATTTAAAAGTTCAAAGACAAAATCGATAAAGTTCTAAAGTTCAATACCTAAAGCGATATCGTTATAGGCGTCAATAATCATTGCCAAAACTACGTCATTTTATCCACGTCATTGTATCATTCAAATTTAACGGCATAGCGACATAATTGAAATTATAACTAAAGTTTAAATTATAATTAGAAATTTTAAAAGTTAAGTGGTATAAACAGTATAGCACTTAAAGCTAAGTGATATTTGGTGTAATTTATCCTTTATTATATTGGAGTTAAAAGAAGGGGTGTTTTGGTAATTCTAGTGACTGTAATGGTGGAATAGAAGCGTTATGATAGGATGCGCCACCTGTTTATGAGTCGGAATTGTTAGTACGTAAATGGACTTTAATTGGATATAAAATAGGCGGAGAGGCCCTTGGCAGCAGTTAAATTACCGATTTTGTCCTTGTATTGTATGACATCTCCGTTGTCATGTATGAAAAATGAAACAAAAATGTTTATCGGTATTAGTTCATTTTCATGTAGAGATAAACTTTAAGGGTAAAGTACACAAATGGTCCCCAACTATAGAGTACTATTTTATTAAGTCTCTCAACTATTAAAAACTATAAAATGTCCTCTTACTATAGAATATTAATTTGTTATGTCTCTGGACTATTAAAAGTTACAAAATGGTCACATGACTATTCATTAATTATGTTCCAAATTCGTCATTTTTTGTTAAAAATTAGGGGTTGTCTAAGCTGCACGTTAACACGATAACTGAGATATGATAGTCTTTGAGATATTGAATCATATTTTATCATATCACAATCAACAAGTTAAAGTTCAACTTAGAATACCGTCAATTTTTAAACGGAGAATGATGAGTTTGAAACATAATGAATAGTCGGTGACCATTTTGTAACTTTTAATCAAGGACTCAACAAGGCACCACTCTATAGTTGGAGGATCATTTTCTAATTTTTAATAGTTAAGAAACTAATAAATCAGTACCCTATAATTGGAGGATCATTTGTATATTTTACCCTAATTTTAAATACAAAGATATTAAAGTACGCGGATCAAACATTTTGATAACTGCATATTTATCGTTTAATAAAAAAATATTTCCGAAACAATTTATTTATATTTAACTATAAATAAAATATTAAACCTATTGATTTTAATTTATATGAAATGAAACTTCATATGTGATTTTATGTGCATCGACGTAAAATATACATAAAAGACTTTCGATATTCTTTTCTCTATTTTGATAGAGATATTTTATAATGATTTTAATATTGATATCGAATTAAAAAATAATTATGATTATTTCGTAAGTTGATAAATTAATAGATTTAACTGATACGATCAACTGTCAATTAATTATGGTAGATCACAAGAAACATACGGGATCATGTCAAAGGATTATAGTTCTTGAGATATACTAGACTTCGAAAACCCTATGACCTGATGGTCTTCTTGGACCTCAAATGTGAGTATTCTCCGAAAATTTTGATATATGGAAATACGAAGAATGATACAACAAATCTCTAGTAAAAAAATAACAAGTTAAACCCCATGCTGAGCAACGAACCCAAAAAAACTGAAAAATTGACACGAACCGAGTAAAATAGTTCGGTTCGGTTCGATTTGGCTTTAAACGGTTCGGTTTTTGGTTTGATTTAAAGGCTTCATTTTTTTGATTCGGTTCGGTTCGGGTTTTTCATATGGAACCCATTTGTTCCATATTGAACCGAATAGGTAATTTTTGTAAAAAATATTATAGTTTCAAGTGATTTTTTTATTGAAAAACCGATAAACCGAACCGAACCGAACCGAAAAAACCGGTTTCGATTTTTTCGGTTTTTTAACTATTCGGTTTCGGTTTCGGTTTAAATATTGAAAACCCGTTTATTTCGGTTCGGTTCAATCTTTGGTAAAAAACCGAACCGAACCGAACCGAATACACTCCTAATGCCATCATCTTTTCACGTCTATCATTTAACACATCGTCGGGAGTTTTAAAGAAATTGGTTTTGCAAGGGTTAAATTGGATGAATTTAAACTTTTAAGGGTATAATTGGATTATGACTTTAGAGGCTCCATTGGTATTTGCGTTATAATACGAGGACATTTACGAGATTTAAGCCTAAAAAAGGGCCGTTGCAGCACTCCCTAAATCAACCAAGATTTTCCTTACCCGGATTAGAAAATCCCCCCAAAATGCAAACGCCCCCACGCTTATAATCTCACCGGCATCGTTGTATAAACTCCGTCGACTCCTTCATTGATCATCTTCAATAATTTCCCGATCGAAAATCTCCAGCTCCTCTCGCATCGCAGTTCTCTCTAATGTTTTTCTGTCTTGAAGGTTTTTCATTTGATTTTGTTTCCGTTTATCGTTTTTTCTTCTGAAATTTTAATTGAATTTTGCAGGTTCTGGGCTACAAGTTCATACTTTTTTTCGATTTTACTTAACTATTTCTTGCAGGATCTTTGATAGTTCATTGCATTTTGAATTATCTTTCACTACATGTATCTCTCTCTGTTCTTTTGGATACTTGATATTATGGATGCAGGATCTTTGAATTCTTTTTCAAACTTGACGGGCCAATCTAAATGGCAGCTTCAAGAACAGGTTCTACAGAGAAAGAATTCTTCTAAAGATAATGTAAGTTTCTAAAGGGATTCTTGATAATCACACCTTCGATTAAATGACGTACTTTTTTTCTAACTTATGAACTGATAATCTAGACATTGTAATGGCATTCAAATTGAATGTGCTTTTATTTGATTTTAATGGCGGAAATGTGGTTGATTTTGAGGATTTCAGTTTGGTAAAAGCGTTTCTAGATAATCCTTCATTTCTTAAATTGATTTAAGAGAACAGCTTCGATTAAATGAAGTTATTTTCTTTAAACTTATGAGCTGATAAACTAGACTTTGTAGTGACATTCAAATTGAATGTGTTTTGGTATTATCAGATGGACAGATTCATACCGAACCGGTCAGCGATAGACTTTGATTATGCTGTTGCATGCTATCAGATGGATGGAAGGTTAAAGAGAACGAAACGGTGTGCTCGCCTGCCAGGGAGGCCTACAGGAAGCTGTTGGCTGAGGCTTTGAACGTGAACCGGACACGAATCTTGGCCTTCAAGAACAAGCCACCAGCACCAATGGAAATCTCCCTTCCGAGAATTCGACTTCGGTTCATCTGACCAAATCTGCAAAGCCTAGAAGACACATCCCCCAGGTAACAAGAGCATGCCATTCATAATTTGACTAGTTCAGGAAATTTTGGTTCTACAGATACTAATATGGTGTGAATGTGATTCTTCAGAGCTCTGAGAGAACACTGGATGCCCCTGATCTTATTGATGACTTTTACCTGAATTTATTGGATTGGGGAAGCAGCAATGTACTAGCAATAGCACTTGGAAACACTGTATTTGTGGGATGCTTCAGATAGTTCTACCTCGGAACTCGTCACTGTTGATGATGAAAATGGACCAATAACAAGTGTGAGTTAGGCACCTGATGGTCGGCATATTGCAGTTGGCTTGAACAATTCTGAAGTAGAACTACGGGATTCGGCTTCCAACAGACAGGTTTGATGTTATAGAAATTGCTGAAATATGTGCAGCTTCATATTTTCGCTCTTCCATTGTTTATTCTGACTCAAACTTTTTCCTTTGTTGCTGCAGCTGCGTACTCTAAGAGGTTGTCACAGATCAAGAGTGGGTTCTATGGCATGGAACAATCACATTCTTACAACTGGAGGAATGGATGGTCAGATTGTTAACAATGATGTGAGAATTAGATCTCACATTGTCGAAACATTCAGAGGACACCGGCAAGAGGTTTGTGGGCTTAAATGGTCGGCTTCTGGACAACAACTAGCCAGTGGAGGCAATGATAATCTTGTTCACATATGGGATAGGTCCATGGCATCTTCTAATTCGCCAACACGATGTCTGCACAGGTTGGAGGATCATACTTCTGCTGTTAAAGCCCTTGCTTGGTGCCCTTTCCAGAGCAATTTGCTAGCCACTGGTGGAGGTGGTGGTGATCGGACCATAAAGTTTTGGAACACACATACTGGTGCATGCCTGAATTCTGTTGATACAGGCTCTCAGGTGTGTGCTTTGCTGTGGAGCAAGAATGAAAGGGAGCTTCTGAGTTCTCATGGATTTACTCAGAATCAATTGACTCTTTGGAAATATCCATCAATGGTGAAGATGGCAGAGCTAACCGGTCACACATCTAGGGTACTGTACATGGCCCAAAGCCCTGATGGCCGCATGGTGGCTTCAGCTGCAGGGGATGAGACATTAAGATTCTGGAATGTTTTTGGAGTCCCAGATGTGGTGTCCAATTCCAATTGTGTAGTTCCTTCAAAACCAGCTTCAAGTTCTCCAAAGGTGGTCAATTCTTAACTATCTTGCTCCAAGTATTCTTTTTTTTTTCTGAACATTAATATGTTAGAAACTATGTAAAAAAAAGTAACATGTGTTCATACTAATCGAAAAATAATTAGAAGTTTCATAATTTTTCTAGTGTTTATGATTTTCCCAGGGAAATATGCCTTATTGGTTCTTGGTTTTATTTTGAGCAGGTTGGGGGGATGATTCATTCAAGATTTACTTCATCAGGAGAAAATGTGACTTTGGTGTATTCTTTGCTCTTTATAATCCTTTCTTTTTCCCTTCTGAACCCCAGAATTGCGTGCAGAGTTTTATTACAGTTTTGGAAGAACAACTATTCTGTTGTGGCTTATCCTTTTTTTCATTTTGCCGACAAATGAATTGGTTAATTCCAAGTCTTCATATGAAATTGAGATTGGTTCATTTGATTTGCCAAAAATAGAATGGCGTTATAGTTCTAAATTACAGTTGCAGCTACCGTCATAGTTGCAGGTGTTGCGGACGTTATGGTGTGATTTTTTCATAAAAATAACTACGTTTTACGTTGCAGTTTGCGGTTTCACAGTAACTTTGAAAAACATTATGATGCGGCCGTTACACTGTGTTGCGCTCGCAATTTAATACCTGTTAATAAAAAATACAATAGATTGTGTTCTTATATTAACATTTGAACCTTAATCTTAATTCAATCATCATACAATTACAGTCACACTTAAAAAGGTGACATTTAAAGAATCTTTCGTGCTATTCACAAGCCACGATTCAGATGCTTTGTGTTATGATTTCAAGAGCATCAAGCCAATGGCAGTGACTAAAAGTGTGGAAGGGACTCCGAATTTGAGATGCTTCCAAAAGGTTAAAGTGTAGCCCATATCCGGAACGCGGCAGGCTTGCTCGCACACAATCAAGTTGGCTGCCGACCCCAACAACGAGAGGTTCCCGGCCACCGTGCTCACCCAAGCCAAAATCAGCCATGCTTTCTTCTCAAAGGCCGGTGATATCAATGCCGACGATGCCGCCATCCTCGCTCCGAGCAAAAGAACTGATATAAGGAAAAACATGGTTCAATTTACGAAGGCAATAACAGAGCACATAAAAGAGAAAACAGCAACATACCAGTAGGCACATTTGAAACCAAATTTGACAGAATGAGAATAACAAGTGCAAGAATTGCTAGTCCACTGATTTCATCAATCTTTGCGTAAGGTTCCATTAACTCCCACAAAGTACTCGGGATTCCAGTTCGATTGAACCCTTGGACCGTCACAAACATCCCACAGAAGAATAACAGAAGAGAGTAGGATACCTGTAAAAGAATTCCAACAAGTCACTATCATTTTTCATATGGTCAATTTGAATCTAAATGAACAAAAGTGTCACCTTCTCCAAGCATGGCACAGCATCTTTGAAATCGAGTATCATGAGAGCAAGCGCCGCAGTAATGGCAGTCCCAGACATATTAAGTCCCATAAGCAGAGACACCAACATTCCGACCACGACAAGATAAACACATGATTTCCATAGCTGCATTTTCCATCTTCGCGAACAGGGTTGGTCCCTATGGTCCCAATAGGCTCCATTCAAGAACCAGTGATTCTCGGGCTCGGAATTCACTCTGTGTCTAAGAGTTTCATGATGAGCGGAGCCCACACCGCCCATCGTAGCCGGCGAAAACTGGTGAGAATTGACACACTCGCCGTTAACGAATCCTGCAGTCGGATCCTCTTGATCTTTCTTAACAGATAACAAGTCACCGTATATGAATATAAGCAACAAAGCATTGAAAAAAACACCCAATATAGTTGCAGGGAGAATCCCGGTCGCGAATTCCCAGAAGGAAACCCCACTCTGAGTGGCGATCACCAGATTCTGGGGGTTACCAATAGGGGTTGCGGTTGACCCGATATTTGCACTGGAAGCAAGCGCAAGCAAGAAAGGCTCGGGCGGCAGATTATTCTCCCTTGCAATCTTCAACACGAACTCGGTCAAGACCATACAAGATGTGTCATTGGTGAACAAAGCACTGGAAACAGCCGAAACCAAGCAGATCCTGAAGATCAAATCCTTTGCACCTTTGCTCTTCCATGTCAACAGCTTACCCAAGTACTTAAATGCATCGGCTCTCTCCAGGTATCCGCTAACCACCATCGTTCCGAAGAGGAGAACGAGGATCGGAAGATCGATCGATTCGTAGGCTTGATCGACGGTCATGACTTGGAATATGACCATCAAGGTAGCTCCCAAGAGGGACCCTGCAGTTCTTCCAATAGGTAGGCATGGCACAGCAGGAAAAACTGCCAATACCCAGAAGATTGCGAAGGCAACTGAGCCTAGAATCACTTTCACACAAGCTGCCATAGCCATCTTGAAACTACAGAACTGGATCGATCCCTTCACCTTGAATCAGTTATTTATTACATGAGAAACCGGGAAAACTGGTAGGTATCCAGCAAGAATGTTGTATGCAAAGCTGTTGAGAAACTACAAAACTGAATCACTGTACCTTGAACCAGCTTTTACATGAGAGTTCTTTAAGCAAAAAATCTCACCGGAAAGAACAAAACAAAAAAAGACGGGATTATAGCCCGGCCGGAGATATCCCACATGTATTTTGGCCTGCCTCTCATCTATCTGTCTGGATAAGATTGAAGCTCTAACTGTGCTCTCAATCCTTGTCGTCTTAGCATAGTCAAAATTTATTTTTTTAACTTTTAATTTATCAAATTTAATCATTTTATTCTTTTTAACGGCGTTGTCATTTGAACTTCAATATTGAAAAGTTAAGGGACTTGAGCTATATCTTATATATATAATGAATGTGGTAATAAGGCTTCAAGCTTGGAAGATAAAACATAGAAAGCCACTTGCAAGAAACAATTATTGAGCTAAAGGAACTGTAACAACTGCAATGTTTCAAAAGTGACAATGTCATTTTAATAATTTAATGGGTTATCCACGCAACCTCTACTCACGTCTTCACTGTATTCATTCAAGCCGAAGATTTCCCATCTTCAAAACCTACTACACTATTATATATTTATATTCCCTGTCGGCTCAGCTATTTAGAATTGGTATTTATTATCGTTCTTTTAGTAAAATCTTCTAACTCAAAAAAAAATATGATCATTTGATTAACTGAATTTTATAATTAATCATTATGATATTAACGTAATAGTTTACGATATTGATATAATAGTCTATCTATTATATTTAAGTTATAAATTTAATTCATATGTCATATCATTTGTCACGTTATTAATTATCATAGATTGCCACGTTAACAATATGGACAACGATGAAAAATGTTAGTAAAAAAATCACATTGAAATTATTTTTTAACTACATAAGTTATTTTCTAAAAGTACATGAATCTCTAATATATTTTTACTTTCTTTTAAATATGTTGAATAATTAACAATCTATACTTTATATTCAATATAATTAAACTTAATAATGATATACTCCAATCTAATTAAATTTCATAATAATATTTTATAGAAATAAAATATATGTATCAAATAGAGAATCAATAAATCAACAATCAATTAATTTAGTAGGATGAGACATTAGATTCTTTAAGTAAGGTCAAGGGTTCGAATTCTAACGATTGCGAATGGAACAAACTGGGTTAAGAATATCGCCTTTATATGATCTGGATTAGTTGATCAATAGATCGGATATTAATAATTATAAAAAATAAAAATAAAGAATCAGTAATGGGTAAAAGAAATAAAATAAAGAAAGAATTAGTAGCTGTCAACTTCTTAAGCAAGCGCCGAGTATTTTTGTCTTGAAAGCTATGGGAGCCCCTATCTTATCACGTTTCATGCTTTAAAAAATGGTGTGGCCCAATTACAGAGTGCCATGTGTACTAAAGTTTTAAAAAATAAAAATAGTAGAAAAAATTGTAAATTGATAATAAAAACTGTAAATATGGCAAATTGATAATTTAATTATATTGTAATATATATTAGTACTTTAAAAGAATAATAAAAATAAAAATTATTTTAAATAAAATTAAATAACCTGATTAAAATGATAAAAAATTAAAAATTAAAATTAAATCAAATCATTAAAAAAATACTTAGTACCCACGACTTATTTCGGACCTAATTCAATCCAGTTTCTTTTAACATTCTCTGACCCAAACCCAATTTGGGCCCTCATTTCCTCTAAGAATACAGATAAAATTAACCCAATATCGTAGAGGGATTAATTATTTAACTCAATATTTTTTGAGAACTATTATACTTGTTACAGAAATTTAAAATTCTTCAAGTGTGTAGATAAAAGTTTTTTATTAGAATTTGTTTTTTTTTTTTAAATTTATCACCTTGATGTAATGAGTTAGAATAAAAAATATTATTTAGACAAATCCATCGTATGAGTGTGATGATTGTACTCTGCACTGTAACATTTATCACAGATTCGAAAAAAATTTAGAGATGAGATGACTTAATAAGTCAATTTTTTTACTCTTCTGATCAATTTTACCGAGGAATATAACATAATCACATCTCTTAAGGGATTTCCATGGATTCTCAAACTAAAACCAAATATATTGCCTTTTTATTGTAATTTAAGCTCTCTTTTTTATGAACATTTTGGTCACTGGAATCATCTATAGAAGTGACTATAAGCATGGAAGGAAGTACAAACTTGACGTGGTTCCAGAATGACAGTGTAGCCAAGGTTCGGCGCTCGACAAGCTTCCTCGCATACTATCAAGTTCGCGGCCGATCCCAACAGCGATAGGTTTCCGGCAAAGGTGCACACCCATGCTAATATCAGCCATACCTTCTCTTCACTAACTGATATTGCCGCTGCCGCTGCCGCCACTCGCCCTCCGAGCAACAGATCTATAGGAAAAATAGTTACAAACATGTCGGTATAAACTTTGAGACATGTATGAGCTCGTGTCGTGTTTATATTATCGGTCGGTATGTTGGAGGCCAGATTCAAGAAGACGAGAATGACAATAGCGAGAACTGCAATCCCCGAAACACGATCGATATTTGAATAGGGTTCCATGAAGTCCCAGAGGGTGCTTGGGATTCCGGTTTTGTCGAAGCCTTCCACTGTTATGAACATTCCGCAAAAGAAAATCAAAAAGCGAATACGATACCTGCTAACACCAAATAATCAAAGCTTTAGTCAATGCTATAATTATATAGATATTGAAAATGAATTTTATTTCAAAAACCTTTTCCAGACAAGGGCTTGCATCCTTAAAATCAAGAACAACAAGAGCCAGTGCCGCAGTAATAGGGGTCCATGACAAGTTGTGTCCCATAAGCAGAGCAACCAGCAACCCAATAGTCACTAAATAAACACCGAGTTTCCAAAACTTGTTCTTCCATCTTCCTTTTATTGTCTCTTTTTGTTCTGAATTCTGTATTGCAAATGATTCTGTCGATGGAATCGCATTAGCCAACTCCTTTGAAGCATCCGAATTCCTGGGGTGATCTCTGGATTTCATGTTGATCCACCGAGTTGACTCTATTTCGAAGAGCGTCAACATGAGTTGAGCTTCCATTGGTGTGGCTGGGAGAGCTTAGAGGATCCATGAATTCTTCAAAGTTCAAAGACGAAAGATGCGACATCGTAGCCGGCGAAAACCGATGGGGACTCACATCAACTTCAGCTGCAACTTCAGTAGTCCCATCTTCTTCATCTCTCTGAACAGACGACGATCTCCAATACATAACCAGAAGGATCAAAGCATTCACCGAGACCCCAACGAGCATTGCTGGTAAAATCCCAATAACAAAGTCCCCAAACGAAATCTTACTCTGAACCGCAATCACCAAGTTCTGAGGATTCCCGATCGGTGTCGCCGAAGACTCGATATTAGCACTCGAAGCAAGTGCCAACAGGAACGGATGAGGGAGCAAATTATGTTACCTTGCAATTTTCAACACGAACTAAGTGAAGATCACACAAGAGGTATCATTAGTGAAAAGAGCGCTTGAAATTGCAGAAACCAAACAGATTCTACAGATTAAGTCCTTAGCACCTTTACTTCTCCACGAAAGCAACTTACCTAAATACTTAAACATATCTGCTCTTTCGAGATAAGCATTGACGACCATGGTGCCAAACAAAAGACCCAGGATGGGTAAATCAATGGCGGCATAGGCTTCATCTGGGGTTATCAGTTATCACTCCAAATAAAACCATAAGCACGGCTCCAAGCAAGGATCCTGCTGTTCTTCCAACAGGTAGAAATGGGACAGCAGGGAAAACTGCTAAAACCCAGAAGACTGCAAAGGCTATTGAGCCCAGAACCACTTTGTACGAAGCAGCCATCGCCATTGTTTAAAAGTTTTTCTTCTCCAGAGACACTGTCAAAGTAAAACAACCCAGAAAAGTTTTAAGCATCGCCAAAGACGAAACACTCAAAAGATCATGCAACGGTGCCCATGGCGTTTATTTTGAGATTACTCCATAGTCTAAAAACATTCAGATGAAAACACACAAAAGCAAACGTAGAAATGGACGAAGTCAAGACTCACTGAGACGTTGAGTTAACTAGCTACGCCCATCTTTGTTTGCATGTGAGCGCCAGAAGAAATTTGGATCACTAATTCGGTTTTATGAGTTCATGACCGTGACAACTGCACCAAAGTCATATGTTTGCTCCCATCTTATATAGATTTTGTTAGAAAAAAACACCTAAATTTGGTTATTTCGTTATCAAGCAGAACTCAAGTAAAAGGGAGAGTCAAATTTTCATGGGTAAAGTACACAAATGATCCCCAACTATAAAATATTATTTTATTAAGTCTCTTGACTAGTAAAAATTATAAAATGATCCTCCAACTATAGAGTATTATTTTGTTGAGTCCCTCAACTATTAAAAGTTATAAAATGGTCACCCAACTATTCATTATATTCTAAACTCATCATTTTCCCGTTAAAAATTTGACGACATTTTGAGTTGAACTTTAACAAGGTGATTTTCGGTCCACTCGACACGATCCGAAAAATATACATCTTTCTCCTGACCCGAGCCCGACTCGAAAAATATACGCCTTTCACCTGACTCGAGCCCGACCCGCCTTTTTGAGATAAAATCCAAACAGAACCCGATCCGATCCGAAATAATATAATATATTAAAAGTATTACTTGTGTTCATTGAAACTATAGATTTAATTGAAAAAATAATATATATAGAGTGATATTATTACCATTATCCCTAAATATATAAGATGAAATTATAATTTTTTGGGCCAGTTGGGTATTTTTCACTCTAAGCCTGAACATAACCCCTAAAAAACCCGACCCAACCCAAAACCGATTCTTTTAAAAAAAATCTTACACTATTGGATCGAGTCGAAACCTGTCGGGTTTGGGTCTCGTGTCCATCTCTAATTGTGATATGATAAAACAATGATCATAAAGTCTCAAACGATTATCGTATTTCAGTCATCATGTTAACATTCAGCTCAGACGATCGTCAATTTTTTTAACGAAAAATGACGACTTTAGAACATAATGAATAGTCGAGTGACCATTTTGTATTTTTAATAGTCGATGAACTCAACAAAACAAACTATAGGGTCAAAAGACCATTTAATATTATTTAATAGTCGAAAGACCTAATAAAAACAATATCCTATAATCAAGATACCATTTGTATCAATAAAATATATTTATTTATAAATTAAAGAATATTAAATGCTTAAAGATATTATAACGTTTTATATTTCTGTTCAACTTGCGGTATATAAATTTTGTAAAGAAAATTTTAGCGTGCATATCTTGCGTGCAGCACTAGTGCATATCATCTGTGTATAGCACTAATCGAAATTAACGATCACCAAGTGGTTTACTTATCTATTGATTAACAAGTTTATTAAACTCTAACCAAATGTATTATAGATTAGATAATTTATGTATACATTTTGTATTTTTATTTTTTATCTTTTAGCTTCGACAAAATTATTAAATGTAACAAAATTTTGTGTCATATAATATTTTATTTCTCATTCTTTAATGTTTATAAAAAAATGTATTATATATTATTAAAAAACATTATATTATTGGATCTGAACCCTGGATCGATCTTAGGTTAGATTTGGAACTGCACAACTTGTAACCTACGAATTGTATATGATAAAAGAGATGTATTGATCTCAGAACGCCCTCATCCCTAGCATCAGCCCTCATCAAGGGAACTGAACTATTGGGGGAAACTGCCACGTGATGATTTCCTCCTCATGACTAAACGCCATGCTGGCCGATCCATTGGCACATATATTCCCTTCACGTCATGTCCTCACTGACCCAGCCTTCCTTTAAGATTGTCTGACTGTCTTTCACTAAAATTGTTGGTCCTCCATTTCACTGTCCGTTAAAACATCGATTGCCCATATAGCATCCACTTCAATGATAAGCTTTCTGACTCCAATAGATTTTGCCAAGATCAAGCCCTGTCGAGTTCCTCATAACTCGGCTGCTGCACTAATAGTCTTCCCTATTCGCATTGAGAAACCTCCTAATCAGTCTCCATTTTCGTCTCGAATTAGTCCCCCAGCAGTAGCCAAACCCGAGGCTGCCCTAAACGCCCCCTCTATGTTCAGAAGCCAAGTCCCTTCCGGTAGTCTCCTCCACTTCACCCATTGTGGTTCTTTTATAACGATTCTATGTGATGCCGTGAACGTCTTCTTAGTATCTCTCGCTAGTTTACCTGCGTAACTGACCACTTGATCCCGGTTTGCTTTTTTTTTTTCGTGAAAATCATATCGTTCCTATTTTTCCATAAGCTCCAGGCAGCAGTTGTGAAGAGCATACCCCATTCGATCTCTTTGTCCGTTGTCTCGTGGGATCGGCTATTCGTCATTAACCAGCTTTTAAACTCTCTGGACTCAAAATGTGCATCTTGACTGTGGGCTTTCAACTCCCTCCTCGCTTCGCTAAGTTGCATTCACGCAGAACGTGTTCAATAGACTCGGTACTCGGTAGGATTATCACACCTCTTACAGCTAGCATCCAGCTTGCAAAGTCAGACAAAAATCTGAATCTCTCCGTGGTTCTTATCTTTCACAGCCGGTCAGTGTTTGTTGAGCTTTGGTCGGTCATTTCCATATCAGTTATTGCCTTGAATGCTGAAGCGGCAGAGAACTTCATAATACAATAAAGCTTTTGCTAATGGTTCATTGCCCATTCACCAGTCGCCATAACTTGATATTATTTCCGGAGTGGAGCTATCATTTGCTCCCTTTCTCAATTACCCCCCGCGTACTAAGAAGAACCCTCCACGTGGATGAGCTATTGCCTTGAGATCGCACCTCCAATAAACTTGACTGTTTTAGGCATTTCTCTTTGCAGATTCTGCCCCAAATCATGTTATGCCTTTGATGTAACCTCCAACCATTCTTCGCCAGGAGCGCAGTGTTCATGGCTCTAGTTTCACGTAGGCCAAGCCCTCTTTGGGATTTCGACCTACAAACTTTGTCCCAGTTAACAAGGTGGTTGTGTGCATACTTGGTATCTCCTCTCTATAGGAAATTCCGGTTCAAACTCTCAATTTTATTGCCCACCGTCA